TGTTGACTCTCTAATCATAAACTTGTTTTTATGATTATCATTGATTTCTATGGAATTGTCTTGCAATCTCATAAAAATAAATCCACAATAATTTCAATAAATTACAATTTATTCGAAATTCATATTCATAAATCAATTCTTAAATTAAACAATCACTTAAATCTAGAAGTTGAATTGTAATGTAAAAGAGACATTCAATCAAATAACCTCAATTATATTGATTGTAATAGATTATAATCGGTTAGAATCATTAAGAATCAAATATAAACCATAGAAAACAAGTTTTAATAGGTGATTCAACAACAAAAATGAATTAGAATATGATTAACAATTGAAACAAAAAGAACAACATGAAAACAATAAAGAAATGAGTGGAGGAAGAAGTAGAAGATGAAAACAAAAAGTAAAACAAAGAATAAAGAGAGTAATAAATAAATTTGATCAATGACAACTTGAATTGATAAACTTCATTGCATTATTTGTACAAGAAGCTCCATGAACAAACTTGGAAGTTAAACATCACTAAAAACTAGAGAAATTTGTAAATGAACTTGTGACTAAAACTTAACTTATGTTTCTCAACCTTTGAATATTTATTTATACACCAATAAAGACATAATAAACAATCAAAACCCATAATTACAAAATAGAACCCAAAACAACATTCTGCAAAATTGAAATTCGATGAATCCGTTCAACGGATTGGAAATTGCTCAATGGATTTATAATTAAATTAGTTACATGAGATTCAGACACATTTCGCTCAGCGAATCAAAAAGCGTTGAGCGGATAAGAAAATGCTGAGTGGATGACAACGCGTTGAATGAATTGTTGATTTTCAGATGAAGAGCTCTTTGGACCCATTCAGCTCAACAGATCCACAAGTGTTGAGCGATTGACACAAAGTTGATTTTCTCTGACAGAGATGGGAAAACGCTTAACGAATTTCAATGTTTCAGCTTTTATAGTTTATTTAATTTATCATTCTTGTAAAAGAAAATAAATAATTAGTTAAAAATGTACATGTAATAAATTATATTAAGATATTTTTACTTCCTTTTTACAAAACTATATTAATTATTAATAATTAATTAAAAAAATATTAAATATATATAAATTATATTAATAAAATTATTGATAAAGTGTGTTCAACAATGGTTTACTTCAACAAGTGCTATATGAGTTTCATTCTTCAAAGATAGATGGTCATGCAGGAGTTTCGAGAACTATGGCCCGAATTGCATCCCATTATTTTTGGCCAGCTATATGTCAACATGTTCGAAAGTTTGTACATGAATGTCAAAGTTTGTGAACAAGCTAAAGTTAAACACATTTTACTTGTCAAGCTGTTGCAACCATTACCTATTCCTCAACATGTTTGGGATGATATTTCCTTAGATTTTATTACCAATTTGTCAATCTCTCAAGGCTATTACATTATTCTTATTATTGTCAATAGAATTTCCAAATTTGGCCATTTTATTCCATTGTCAGCCTCCTATATCGGTAAGCTAGTTGCAGATGTTTTCGTTAATCATATTGTGAAGTTATATGGAATTCCTAAGTCCATTGTGTCTGATTGGGATATGCTCTTTATTAATTCCTTTTGGAAACATTTGTTCAAAGCTCAGGGAACTATGTTGGCCACGAGTTCCTCTTATCATTCATGATCGGATGGCCAGGCAGAAAATTTGAACAAAACTTTAAAGTTGTATCTTCCCCCTAAACATTAGGGCTCTATGCTGACATGGGCACAATATTGGTATAATTTTTCATTGCATCAAAGCATTGGAATGTCACCATTTAAGGCTTTGTATGGTAAAGACCCCCGCTTGGTATTGCGTTATGAGACCAATGCTCAGGATCCTATTTCAGTTCAGCATTTGCTTCAGGATCGTGATGCCCTTTTACAACAGTTGAGGTGTAATTTTCTTAAGGTGCAATAGTATATGCAATGTCAAGCCAACAAAAAGTGTCAGAATTTGCAATTTGAGGTCGGAGATATGGTGCTGGTCAAATTGCAACCTGATGCATGTTTATTTCATCTCACATTTATAAATTAAATTAGGTCAATTGCATGCATTCTTATAGCATTTGAACAATGTTTTCATGCATTACCGTTGCATTTAACTTGTCGTGTAGTTTCTTTGTTTTGTTGAAAAAATAGGTGCATTTAGAATAAATTTTGTGGGACTTGCGTGGTTGACGTCATTCATAAGCTGACAATGGAATTCCCTTTTTGCTATTGGGTTTGGGCTAAAAAAGAAAAAGACGGGAGTAGCTAGACAAAAAGGAAAAAAGATTGACGTGGAAAGGGGGAGAGAGTTAAAAAAGCGCAGAGAGCTGAGGCAAGAGAAGGGGGAGGCATGCAGTAGTGTACCAGAGAGTAGTTTTTTTTTTTTGTTTTAATTTCTGTATGGAAGGCTAAACTTTTCTTTTGTTAGAGGGTTGATGTAGTATTCTGTAAGACAGATTCTAAACCTATTTAATTTGATGCAGTGTAATTTCATTTACTCCAGTATCTTATCTATGATTTTTTATGTTCAATTTTAATCAGTTATATTTTAAAAAATGGACATTGTTTATGTTGTTAGATGAGATAAGTTGGATTTTTGTTTAATTGAAAAATTATGCAAACTTAACTAGTTATTGTGGAGGAAATTATTAATTATTCAAGTTTTAGTGAATTTTTCTTATCCCAAAGAATTGGGAAATTAAAAGTTTAGTGAATAATTTTGCTTACCTAAGGGATTAGGAAGTAAATATCACTTTTAACTTTAGTGGGTAAATTTAATTCTTACATCAATTAAATAGGCTAGGAATTTGGAAGAAAGAATATGAAATCAATCCTCTCGCATATATTTTACAGCAAGGAAAATTAACTTTTCTATTGTCATTTTTTTGCTCTTTGATTACTCAATCTTAGGACAAATTAATGATTTAGTATTTAATAAATATTCAATCCCTAAGAACGATAAAATGATTATTTTTGTAACAATTGGTCTGCTTACCAAAATAAACATTCATTTCCTGGCAGCGTTGTTGGGATAGAAAATTTTTGTTAATATTAAAAAGTTTTTTTTCTTGAGATTTGAGCTACAGTATTTTTTACTGTTCAATAATTTTTATTTTTTTTACAAAGATTCTTAAACTACCATCCGCAATTCTATAGCAGTTCCTCATATTTTAATTCAATGGGATTGTCTGGGACCTTCAGCAACTACTTGGGAATATGTTAAGGAGATCAAAGAATCATTTCCAGATTTCAACTCGAGGACAAAGTTATTTTTTATGGGAGGAATATTGTAACATGCGTGAGTAGCATTGCTGAGGTGGATAATGATGAAAAATTAGTTATGGAGAATACTGACGTGAAGAGTGATAAAAAAATAATGATATGAGAAGAAACACTAGAAATAGAATGGACAATATTTTAATGAAGGATTACTTGCAATGAGAGGACATGTGTGTAGTACGACTTTTTTTTTTTACTATTTTCTCTCTCAAATTCTCTTAATTTTCTAATTCGTTCTCCATTAATTCTGATTTAGGTTCACTACACGTAATATTGAGTCATTGTTGTGAAGTTATTTTGCAATTGAATATCTCACTCTCTACTAAGCTAGTGGTTTAATTGCCATGTTATATACTCCATTAATAAAGTTTACATGAATTTCACTCTATCTATTATATTTTCAATTAAATAGTGTTATATACGAATTCATGAAAAGGAGATCGTGGTATCAAACATGATTTCAATTTTTTTATTTAAAAAAATAAAAATTGAAATCATGTTTTATAGCAAAACTTCTTTTTTATAAAATCATGCTTAGCACAACTTCCTTCGCTTAGCACCACTTACCTATATATTTAAATTTTAAAAATATTATTTTAAATTAGTAATTTAGGTTTAAAATTGTACCATTTTTGTGTTCTTGTCAAATAATATTTTATTTAAATAATTTATTCTTTTAAATTAATCAAATTATACAACTTAAAAAAAATTAAAATCAGTAAGAAAATAATAATATAATAGTATCATAAGTATATATGAGATAAAAAGAATATTTATAATATTATACAAATATTTATTTGTTTATTGTGGGTCAAACTCACTTCCTCCTTTGACTCTAATCCACTTTTTTGTGAGTTTTGGAGATGAAACTTTTTCAACTCCCTTTTACATGGACTATTATAAAAGGATTAGTTATACGATGAGACTTGACATGTATCTCTGTCATGATCTTAAAAGATGGATTAAATTCTTAAATTTAAAGTATTTTCACCAGAGGTGCTCTTGATATGGAAAGAAGAATATTGAGAGTATCTTGGTTTTACCACATGTTATTAAACAATTTATATAAACAAGACTAAATAAAATAAAGACAACAGACTTTACCATTGTGGCTACAGTTCATGACATCTTACAACACTCTAATCAGAACACATGTAATACCACTTAATTATGTGTCATATTAGCATATTATTAATGAACAAAAATTGCATGAGTTTTACTGTAAAATGATGAGAAAATAGTTGTACTTTTGTCAAAACAGCTTTAAGATTTATCAATTATCTACCATTCATTCAATTAGTGTATTCTGCTCTCATATCTAAAACTCCAATAGTGATCCAATTACACAAAATCCATGCTTTTAGGTGTTTGTTTTTTTAATCACAACTCATAAGTCGCAATCCCTGAACAAGTAACAGTTCCTCTGTTGTTTTCTAAGACTAAGATCCTCAAATGTTAGTTTTGGTCATGTTATGAGAGAGAGAAAGAGAGAACTTATCATAATGAACAACCTTCATGGCATATTTTCTGTTAGGTTGGTTAATTTTATTTTGCATGTTTCTCTCAAACATAACATCATATTTTGTTAAGACAAGAGGATCTAAAACCTTTACAGTAATCAAAATCCCTTTTTGTGTGTTGGCTAAAGTCCTTACATTAGAAGTGATGTTATGATCATATTTGGCGAAACTATGTGTGGAGTGGATCAAGGTCTAGAGTAGAAAGGATCTCTCTGCAGCAAGAAGGGGTATCCAATTCCTCTTCTCTTGGATGGAAACACAACAAACAAGACACTCACAAAGAAACCAACCACAAGAGGGAGAGTGTTGGTCACCTTTCTTGGCAATGCTGGGTAGTAACACTTGACAACATCTTGATGCAACCCTGCAAAAGCAAGAAAAGAGACCAAAGACAATGATGCATAGAAAAGATCACTCCATCTTAGTCTATAATCTGATGGCACACTAGGCTTCTTCTTGCCCCCATTGAAAGTCCATATCCCTCTCAATGTTGCCACTCCATAATACAACCTTCCAGTGGCACTTCTGAAGCTGTCAGTTAAGGTGAAGAAAACACATGACACTGCCAAAAGGGCCAAAAAGGTTCCCATCAACCAACGGTTGAATGTGTTGCATTCACCATCATCTGTGAGAAGAGGTGCAAAAATGGTGAAGGCAAGGATGGTCACTGTGGGCAAGAGAACATTGAGCCTAGCAGTGCCACTTAGTATTGCATTGATGACATAGAAATAGTAGGACTCATCAATTTCATAGTCATCAAGATCATAGTAGTCATCCTCATCATTCTGTTGCTGCTCATCTTCACAGTGGATGATCAAATCTTCACCAGTTGAGTTGCTCATCTCCAACCAAACAAGATTTGTAAGAGATTTTGTGATGGTCTTGAAGTTCTTTCATGTGGAATTTTAAGGACTGTTTTCTACCTTTGTATATTATTTCTTAGTTTTGGTTCCTTCCTTTGTAATGAAAATTCTTGAAGGAATATAATTTTCCTTCTTCAGCAATGTTTGAGTCAGAATTTGCTTTCAAAGTAGGGAAATCTTTATGCTTTGCCATGCTTCCACTTTCCAGAAGAAACCCTCTGTCCAGCAAGCTTTGTGAGTAACATTAATGCAACAATAATTGTCTGATAGAACCCTTTTATATCAGTTCACTTTTTTTTTGGTTATACCTTCCTTTACACTTGTTTAGAACCAATCATTTTTGCTTTCTCTTTTGTTAGGGAAAAAAACCTGTTTATTTCACATTACTTTTTTAATACATATTCTCTTCATACTTCTCATAAACATGCTGAATGGTATCACATGAAGAGGACAAAGAATATCAGGCTGTTTAGAACTTCTAGATTTTGCCACTTAGTTATACAAACTGGGGTTAACTTTTACATGTAATTTTGTCTGCCACTGTAGAGTACATGTGTAAAATAACTTCTTTTCATTTTATTTTTCAAATTATGTTTATCTTGAAATTATTTATCAACATTAATGTAAAAATAATTTACAACTATGTTGACCCAGTATTCTATAATTTTTTTTTTCTTGATTTAGAGATTCATAAATCCAGCATAGTGATAATAGTGAATTTTAGTTTGTAAGATTATTATACATATGATGAGAGTTACTTTATAATCCTCACTTTACAATACCAAAAATCATTTGCTGTAGTCCTAATTCTAAAACAAAAAAACAAAAAAATTAAACATCACTATCAGTTAGAATGAAAATTGATATTAAATAATGATTTTCACATCAGTTACTGAGAAAAATATTTTAAACATCATGAAACACATTTTCCTTTTTTTCTCCTCGGTACATTTCTTCGTCCTCTGTCACCATCCTACTCACAATAAGAACCACAATTTCAGAACAACGTTACAATTCCTTTTTGCCGTCCTATCTATGGGTCTCACTCGTTGTTAGTACATACACCCTCGACTCTCACAATCTTATCTTTTTATCTATGACGAATAAAGTCAAGATAATTCTCACTAATCTCAATTCAATATTTATACATATACTACATGAGACTTAGTAGCTCTTATCAAAACATAACATTTTGTAAGACAAATAATAATATTTAACACCTCTTATTTATCATATTTATACCGTTTAGCATATTTACAATAAAAATATATTTTTTTAATTTGACCTCTACCTAATTTTTTTTATTATAATTTTTTCTATAGATATTTTTTTTTATTAATTCTTCTTTTATTGGATTGCTCATTTTTCACACTTTAAAATTATTTTTCTATGAAAAGTTAAATTTAGAGTTCAATATTATTTTTTATAATTTTTAAAAATTCGAACCATTTTTTTTTAAGATTTTACTTGAAAAAAATACACAATAAACCTTATTTAATTGAGGGTTTTTTATTTAAGCGAAATATATTTATTCAAGTGAAAAGATACTTGAGAAAAACTCTTATCTTTATTGCATATTTCACTTAAACGAAATATACTAATAATAAGTTTATAATAAACCAATTTTTAGACATCAAACACGGTTAGCGATTAAAACTAAAATTATGTCTGAAATAATTATTTTAAATCTAAATAAAGATTTATATATTAAAAATATTTATTTATCATAAAATTTAATTATAAAATATTAAATGAAAAATAGGGGAATGTATGTCTAATATATTAAAAAAATTATAGAAACAATTACCAAAATATTAAAAAATATAATTTAAAAAAGTTTAAAAAATTATAGTCTATTACTTTAAAAAAATTACAATGATTATCAAAATATAAAAAGTAAATTTATAATTTAAATAAATAATAGTTTTTTTAAATATTAGTTATTAAATAAAAAAAATTATCACAGAATCCGATCACTTTTATTATTAGTTAGGAGTAGTATTAGTGGAAACACGTGGACGAGCTTGTATCTACGTTATAAAATAATTATATTTTAAATAAAATATTATAATATATAATAATATAATTATTTGAAATAATTTTTATACGTAATTTATTTATTTTTTCTCTTAACACAATACATAATTAAATAAAGATAAAATTATTAAAAAATTAGAGTATTTTACAATTTAAAAAAAATAGAGAAACGATTACAAAAATATGGAAAATAAACTTATAATTTAAAATAAAAAGTAACTTAAAAATTTAAAAAACAAAATATATAATATGAAAAGTAAAATGAACAAAAAAAATGTAGAAAAAAAGTGATTGGACAACACAATAATTTTAAAATAATTATTCTTAAAATTATTTTTAATGGAAGAGATATGCATTTGGGAGAGAATTTTAAATAGAAACAAATATTAAAAATTAAGAAAATAAGAATTTTACCATTTTTAAATTAATATTAATTAATTTCATTTATATAATTAAGAAAAATCAAGAAGTTGGGAGAGAAGATGAAAGACAAATAATTTATTAAATATAACATAAAAAATGGTTATAGAAGAGAATATTTTTATATAATGGTTTATATCAAATTTTCTTTCACCATTTTTATATTGTTACAACTTCTTCCTCTATTATTAGATTACATTTTTTTTCTCTTTTTAAAATACATATATATTATAAGGACTGTTTTTCCTGTATTAAATATCTTTTATTTACCAATAACATAATAAAAGTAATTATATTTTATTGAATAAAAATATAATATTGTTTACAAGTGATAATTTTAATACTTTAAAATTTATTAATATTATATCTTTAAAATATAAATCGCATATTATAGTAAAATATTTATTTATTAGTTTAAATGCGAGAGATAATTTTAATTGTATAAATAAAAAACATAGTTTTTATACTTACTGCAAATCAAACAGATACACATCACCCCACCGCGGACCAATCACTTCAAAATCAGAGAAAAAAAAAAAAAGTTGAGAGTTCAATTTTCATACTTTCATCGATCCTTCTTTAGAAATCAAAACCTTCCTCGTTAAGGAAGATCAAGAGGTATACACCACATATAATCTGATTTTCTTCCTCTGTTTTTCATCTTCATTCATGCCCACACGCCGATTGTTTAATAGTTGAATTTAAATAAATAAAAAACTGAAACCTTGAATTTCCGAGCTAGTTGTCTTCAATACCGTAAAACTCATTGTAATCCTCTGTTTTTGGTTTCTGGGTTTTTGTTTTCCTGTGATTTAGGGTTTGATCCTGATCCAAACCTGCGCCATGGCCATGTTTGATTCCATCTTCAACAAAGGTTTTAAGGCTGCCAAATGGTACTGTCTGCTTATTTTGTTTGATTTTGTACGTAATCTGGGTGTTTATTTTTCTTCTTGAAATTGTATGTTTTTTAGACTTTGAAATTAATTTAATGATTGAGTTTAATTACTGTGCATCAATTGGCCTAGTTGTGCTATTTGGGATATTTCGTATTCCTGAATTTTCCCCTTTCTTTATTTATTGAGTAACTGGGTATTTTCTTTTTTTTTCTTTCTTATGGTTTAGTTGTTCATGTATGGATTATGGGATTTGTGTTTCAGTTTTATTTAAATGATTCTGTTTATTGCAATAGCTCATTTGCACCAACGTTATAAATTGCCGGAAATTGTGACTGCAATTGCGTTTATCCCAAAAACCTTGATGTTGTGGCAAAATTGGCGGTGGTAGGCTGGCTTTTTTTTGAAACCTTGATCTACACAACAGTTTTTTTCTGTTGTTTCATTTTATTTTATTTTTTATTTATCCTTGTTGTTGCCGCTTTTGTTTTTGTATTTTTGGTGTTTAATTATTTATAACTGATCTGTTTACCAATGTTCATACTTTCAGTAAAACTCTGCTGAAACTGACAATTCCGCGAATAAAGCTTTTAAGAAACAGAAGAGAGATTCAGTTGAAGAATATGCGGCGCGACATTGCCAAGCTACTTGAGACTGGCCAAGAAGCAACAGCTCGTATTAGGGTAAGCTGGCATATGCTGTTTAACGTTGATCTTCTTTCCAATTTAAGAATTTTAAGCCAATAGTTGAGGACAGAAAGAAAATCATTTTGGTAGTTCTGTTCTTGATGTGGTCATATGTGCAGGTAGAACATATTATCAGAGAGGAGAATATGATGGCTGCTCAAGAAATCATTGAACTATTTTGCGAACTTATTGCTGTTCGTCTTCCTATAATTGAATCTCAAAGGTAGTGTAGAGATGAAACAGAAATATGCTTGACTAGCTTGGTTTCTATCTGAATATGTGTGATCATTTAAATTTTGCATTCAGGGTAGTCATTAGTAAATCTTGTGGTAATGAAACTGTTGATATGTTATTCAACTGAATTCAGAAAAATGTTACTTTGTTCAACGGATCTGACTAACCAGTAACTGGGAGGATCAATTTGTTTGTAGGCAAGACCTACAGTAAGCAATGTAAAAGCCACTTTGTTTGAGGGAGTGGTTGGCAGTAAAATAAGAAGAGATGAATAATTTTTTTTCAGCACTATGTTTGAGGGAGTGTTCTTAAACATTGAATTTGTGCAAGGTGCAATATGATTTAAAACATGTTCGAACAAATTTCTCAATAATCACTTATAGGATAAGACAATTAATGAACTATGGAGGGAAATTGTCAAACTTCTTGCATAAGCTAAAACTAATTTATACACCTCAAGTTTTTCAGAAGTTCTCATTTAATTCTTTTCACTTATAAATTTATAAGGGTTTTTTAATAAGTTAGAAATCAAATACTTTTACGTATGGAAAAGTTTTCATAAGCTAGAAGCTAATCCAAATTGGACCTAAGTTAATGACAATTTCATTAAATGGATAAATATGGTTGGGGCATAATTTTGTGATTACAATTTCTCGGTGCCTATGACACCCAAATGAAAAATCTACTGGAAACTATAAAATGAGTAATACTCTTTGGTGTTTAGACACTGAAGCTCCAACAGTAACAGAAGTAATTGTAGCAGAAATGAGAATACTGAGGTGATTGAGTGGATAAGTGGAAATACAAGAAAATATAAGATTTCAAATTATTTATATCAAAGAGTAGCCTCTACTGAGAAGATGATGGAACTTTTGTAAAGCGATCTAGTTGTCTGGGATGAAGACCAACAGAAACTCTAGTGAAAAAAATGGATTGAATTAAAAATATTGAGGTAGAGAAAAACATAAGGGAACATTACATTTTATTTGCAGCCTTGTTGTTTTGTGTTTTTATTTTCAGCCTTGTTTTTATGTATTTTTAGTTGCAGCCACAACCAATTCTACTACCTTAAGAAACTATCCCAGTGATCATGATCATTAGCTGTGTGAACATCACTTCTTTTGTTAACTTTTGTACCACCCTAGTTATCAATATTTCCGCATAGTTCTACAAGTGATAATAGGTCTCTATGGTTTTCAATTGCTGTGTATGAATGACTATAACCCTCATCACTCTTCCAATCACCCTTCACATGTTAACAGTAAAAATGCAAGTAATTCAAATAATATAACTCTCAACCTCTCTTGGTGTTGGGAAGTTGGGATAGGCTTTTTTAGCTTCTTTATGGGTGTCAACTTTCTTTCAAGGAAATGCCTTTGTTTGATATGGTAAGATGCTGGATTGCTTTTCAAGGTTTTCCCTTCTCTCTCGCTCTCTTTTATTATTGCTTGTATTCTCAATTCTAGTAGGCTTTTCTAATCCTCTGGATATGACTCTTCTTACATAAATATAGGGTTTTAAAATTTACATTGACCTCCCTTAGGTTTAAGAGACATATGCAAACGTCCCCTTGATATAGTATGGGACTCTTAGTTGAATTTACAGATTCTTTTTTTAGGAGAAAATAAAAAATAAAATTTCATATTGCATCATAGTTGTGCCTCACTACACTGTACTAAATTTTACGTATGTTGTCCTACTGCTCCTTATTCTTTGCTTCTTCTGATGTTCCCTTATTGTATATAGAATTTGACAATTACCTTCTATGATTCTATGAACAACATGCATACTAAAAGGAGTCAAACATGGAAAGAAAATACCCATTGCTAAGTGTTAGATATTGTTTATATATTATTTGATATTGTTAAGATATTGTTAGATATTGGTAACCACAATATCAAACAATATCTTCTGTTTATTCTGTTACTTTCAGTTACTCTTTTAGTTGTATTTCTCTACTATAAATAGACCACCCTATGTGTGATTTATACACAAGGGAAATTAATTCCAAACTATATTTTCTTTATATTCAACATGGTATCTAGAGCTTAAGGTTATCTTGAATTTTTTTTTCGCCTTTTGTCCACTGTTGGAGCCGCCCCACCGCTGCTAGAGCCGCCCCACCGCTGCTGGTAAACTGATCCTCCACATCAGAAAAGAATTATCTTTGTCATTGAATTTTATTTGGTAGTGTGAAAGTGCATGTTTAGGAAAGTTCTGGCAAGGAAAGACTTGGTATTTAAGTGTGTCCATTAGTGACCCACCTCTCTTTCCTGGGAACTTACCTAGTGTACTAGTTCACGTTCATCGTCACCGCTGCCAGCTGGAGCGAGTCACTGGGTCCGCCGTGTCGGAGAATTCGCCGGAGTTTCATTTTTTTTACCGGTGACATATGATTTTGCTTGTCTCGGTCAGGGCCCGCTCTTCATGACTTCTTCCACTATTTCCAATTTTGTTAACGATTCTTTTGTGTTGACATCCCATCGTGATGACCGGGCTCGCCCTCGCAAACAGGAAAAATGGCGTCCTAAGTGTGAACATTGTGGCAAGCTAGGTCACAAGATTAACAAGTGTTATACATTACATGGTCGTTCTCCTCAGTCTGCTGTAGTTGTTCAGACCAATCTTTCCCCACCTTTATCTGTAGGGGATCTTCCTTCTTCTGTTGCATCCGACATGTCTGCTATGTTCAACAAATTTCTCGAATGGTATAAGGATCAACAGTCTTCTAGTTCCACTATATCTGTCACACATACAAATACATATTTTGTTGGTCCGACCCAATCATTTTCTCCTGGTCCTTGGGTTTTTGATTCAGGAGCCACTGATCATATTACTGGTAACAAATCTTTGTTCTCCTCTTTATCCTCTCCTAATCATTTACCTTCGTTACATCTGGCTGATGGCTTTAGAGTATCATCTCATGGTGTTGGAACGGTTAAACTCTTTCCTTCTTTAACCATTGATAATGTTCTTTATGTCCCTAGGTCTCCTTTTAACCTGTTGTCCATCAGTCGTCTAACTCGTTCTCTTGATTGTGTTGTTACTTTTACCAACAATTCTGTGTGTTTACAGGACCGGAGTTCGAAACAGGTGATTGACACAGGATGTGAGTCTCATGGTCTTTATTATCTCCGTCCCTCTACACATGTTAGTACAGGTTATGGAGTCTCCCTCTCTTCTTCATGCTCGGTTAGGTCATCCAAGCCTTGCCAAGTTACGGAAACTTGTCCCTGCCTTGTCTAACTTATCTAGTTTGGCGCGTGAGTCATGTCAATTAGGCAAGCATAGTCGTACTTCCTTTCCTCGTAGTTTCACACGTGGTGCTTCGTCCCCTTTTGCCGTGGTTCACTCGACATTTGGGGACCTAGCCGCGTTAAGTCTACTTTAGGTTTTCAATACTTTGTTACTTTCATTGATGATTATTCCAGATGCACTTGGTTATTTTTGATGAAAAATCGTTCTGAATTATTTCATATCTTTCAAACTTTTTTTAATGAAATTCAAACTCGGTTCGGTGTTTCTATTAGAGTTTTGCGTAGTGATAATGGCCGTGAATATCTTTCTCATTCTTTTAAACAATTCATGGCTTCTCACGGTATTTTGCATCAAACTTCTTGTGCTTATACACCTCAACAAAATGGTGTAGGCTGAACGTAAAAATAGACATCTTATTGAAACAACTCGCACACTTTTAATTCATGGAGATGTTCCTCAACATTTTTGGGGTGATGCTCTTCTTACTGCATGTTATCTCATTAATCGCATGCCTTCTTCGGTTTTAGATAATAAAATACCTCATTCCATTTTATTCCCTCATGAACCACTTCATCCTTTACCTCCGAAAGTTTTCGGGTCTACATGTTTTGTTCATAATTTCAATTCTAGTCCTGGACAAGCTTTCTCCTAGATCACATAAATGTGTTTTCTTAGGGTTTACAAGATCACAAAAAGGATACAAATGTTTTTCTCCTTCTCTTAACCGTTATTTTGTGTCAAAAGATGTCACCTTTGATGAGTTGTCTCTTTATTTTAAAAGTCAAACTTCACCTCTGTCTCCATCCAATCTTGTCAACACTCCTAATACATTTAATGTTCCTGTTGTTTGTGACCCTCTAATTGTGTCTTCTTCACCATTAGTTTTCGCTCCGCAGATTAGCTTCTTCTCCACTGCCTCTTCGATTTATAGTTCTCGAAACCAATCACAACCACCACCATGTGACTCTACTCAAGTGCCAACTACTCTGTCTCCTCCGGATCGACACATGAGTCCGACCTTCCCATTGCCCTCCGAAAAGGTATTCGTTCTACACGTAATCCCTCTCCCCATTATATTGCTTTGAGTTATCATCGACTGTCATTACCTTTTTATACATGTCTTTCCTCTATTTCTTACTGTGACCATTCCAAAAGCTGTCTATGAAGCTTTAGCCCATCCTGGTTGGCGTCAGGCCATGTTAGATGAACTAAGTGCTCTTCATAATAGTGGAACTTGGGAATTGGTCCCGTTCACGTCTGGGAAATCTGTTGTTGGTTGCAGGTGGGTGTTTGCTATCAAAGTTGGACCTGATGGTACTATTGATCGCCTCAAAGCTCGTCTTGTGGCCAAAGGTTATACTCAAATTTTTGGGTTGGATTATGGAGATACCTTTTCCCTGTGGCAAAGATGGCTTCGTTCGTTTATTTATCGTCATGGTCTGCTCTTCAACAATGACCTCTTTATCAACTGGATGTTAAAAATGCTTTCCTCAATGGTGATTTGCAAGAAGAAATATATATGGAGCAACCTCCTGGGTTTGTTGCTCAGGGGGAGTCTTCTGGGATGGTATGTCGTCTTCGCAAATCCCTATATGGCCTAAAACAGTCTCCTAGGGCTTGGTTTGGAAAGTTTAGCAAGGTTGTTCAACAATTTGGTATGACTCGGTGTGAATCGGATCATTCTGTCTTTTATCGACACTCGAGTGCTTGGATGTGTTTACTTGATAGTATATGTTGATGATATTGTTCTTACAGGTAGTGACAACCATGGCATCTCTCAGTTGAAACAACATCTTTGTCACCATTTTCGGACCAAAGATCTTGGCAAACTTAGATATTTCTTGGGTATTGAGGTAGCACGATCCAATGATGGTATTGTTATATCTCGGAGGAAGTATGCCATAGATATTTTGGAAGAAACTGGGTTGATGAGTTCAAAGTCTGTTGATACACCCATGGATCCCAATACTAAACTTCTACCAAATCGGGGGAGCCTATATCTGATCCTGAGCAAGTATAGAAGATTGGTTGGAAAATTGAATTATCTTACGATTACTCGTCTCGACATTTCCTTTGCGATCAAGTGTGGTAAGTCAATTTCTTAATTCACCATGTGAAGATCATTGGAATGCGGTCATTCGTATCTTGAAGTATATTAAAGGATCTCCTGGAAAAGGATTGTTATATGCTTCTAATAACCATACAAGAGTTGTTTGCTACTCGGATGTCGATTGGGCAGGATCTCCTTCGGATAGAAGATCTACATCTCGGATATTGTGTCTCCATTGGTGGTAACTTGATTTCATGGAAAAGTAAGAAACAAAGTGTTGTGGCAAGATCCAGTGCAGAAGCAGAATATAGAGCTATGGCCTCAGCTTCCTGTGAACTTGTTTGGCTCAAGCAATTGCTTAGAGAGTTACAATTTGGAGATGTCACTCAAATGACACTTGTGTGTGACAATCAAGTTGCTCTTCATATTAGTTCTAATCCTGTCTTTCATGAGAGGACCAAACACATTGAGATTGACTGTCATTTTATTCGAGAAAAGATTATGTCTGGAGATATCAAGACTGAGTTTGTTAACTCAAGTGATCAGTTAGCAGATATTTTTACTAAATCTTTACGGGGTCCTAGAATTGATTATATTTGTAACAAGCTTGGCACATACGATTTGTATGCTCCAGCTTGAGGGGGAGTGTTAGATATTGTTTATATATTATTTGATATTGTTAAGATATTGTTAGATATTGGTAACCACAATATCAAACAATATCTTCTGTTTATTCTGTTACTTTCAGTTACTCTTTTAGTTGTATTTCTCTACTATAAATAGACCACCCTATGTGTGATTTATACACAAGGGAAATTAATTCCAAACTATATTTTCTTTATATTCAACACTAAGAAACATGCATATGCTCTAGGCCTGTGTGGAACACCTTCTCCATAAACACTTCTAGGAGCGAAAATAAGAAAAAAATGAAATTATTTTTTCTATAAGTTAAAGTTCATGAACTGATTTATAAAATCTGCTTCCTATTAGCTTCTCCAAATCTGATTTTTAACTTATGCATTAGCTAATTTTAGCTTATGAAAAATTATTTTCATTTTTTTTCTTACCTGTCATTCCTATAACTGCTAATGGGAAAGTTTCCTCCGAGCAGAGTCATGAACTGTAATTCAGTGCTTGTACATTGTAAGAATACTTGGACAGGTTCTACTTCAGTCGATATTGCAGTGGTCTATATATTGATAATCAATGCGAGGTTTTTGCAAAGGAAAAACAATTGTCTTTAACTATTTTTTCAAAATAGTTACTAAAGCAAGTTATATTGCGCTGAACAGTTACAGATCCATTCCTGCATAGTTATCAATGCTATTCTAATCTTCAAATAGCTTGTATTATTTGCTATTGGTATCATTGGACAGACTAAGAATTTTGCTCATTACCTTTTTGAGAGTTTGATAAGTCCAAAATAGTGGCGAATGGATTTCTAGCATTGTTTTCCTGTTTTTTTAGTAAGTTTATGTTATGATTAAGACCATGATCATTTTTGTAACGGAAGTGTAAGTATAAAATATCAATCATTATTCTCTAATTATGTATCAATGTTCTCAATATTTTCAGGGAATGTCCCCTTGACTTGAAGGAAGCCATATCTAGTGTGTGTTTTGCTGCTCCAAGGTGTGCCGATCTGCCAGAGTTGTTGCAGGTTCAGATGCTATTTGCTGCCAAATATGGGAAGGAATTTATATCTGCTGCAACTGAGCTCAGGCCAGACTGTGGGGTTAATCGCCAGGTTCCATGAGTTTTTTCATGCTGTTAAATGTTTTTCTTATCTTGTAGCAAAACTTTTTATACAGAAAGCTATTTTATTTTTATAACATTCTTCATGTGAATTCCAATTGCAGTTAATAGAGCTACTTTCAATTCGTGCTCCTTCACCAGAAAAGAAACTGAACCTTCTGAAAGAAATTGCTGTTGAACATGATTTAGAATGGGACCCAGCAGCTTCAGAAACTGAGTTCTTTAAAAAACATGAAGATTTATTGGTAAGTGTTAGACTGTAGTGACTAACTAGAAAAAACTGGCAATTATTTGTTTCACACATCATCTTACATTATATGTCCTTTCCTTCTCAGAATGGCCCCACTCAATTCTTTAGTGGGTCTAAGTTGCCCCTTCCTGATGAAAAACCCCACGAAGAGATGTACTCTACTCATGAAACAACCAATAAGGAAGAACCTGATTCTGATTCTGGCTCTGATATATTAGAATTTCCTGAAGTTCCCAAGGTATCTGTCCGGCCAAACGCAAATGTTGCCACAGCTCCAGAAGTGGTTACACATCTTACTATGGAACCCCTTGATGTTGATCTTGATTCATCAAGCAATTCTGGAGATTTTGAAGATATCAAGCAGGAGCAAGTTGAAGATAGATCAACAGTTCACAAAGATGAAACACATACTTCAATTGGCAAAGAGAATATACAGTTTGTGCCATTCATCTCCCCTCCAGCAGTATCATCTGGATCATTTTCTGCAAGACCTAGTGACTCATCTCCCACCTTGTCAAGCTCAAAATGTGAACCCCATGTGGACTTACAAGATGTGTTGGCTGCTGCCCATGCTGCTGCAGAAACTGCTGAACGAGCAGCCCTCGCAGCTCGCACAGCTGCTAGTCTTGCTCAAGTCCGAATTAATGAGCTGACTAAGAGGAAAAGTAATGAACATGTATCTGACAGCAGCTCTGAGAACCCGTTTTATGCTGGTGGTGATAATGAATCTCCAACAATAGAAAAGCATTTGAACGAGCAAAATCCTGCAGGTAACTCTGATGTCCATAATAGAAAAGATCTTGAACATTACCAGGATCATTATACTTCCCCAGGCTCTCATTCGTCAAGTTTTCCATCCTTTGACACACTCAAGGAAGATTTTGATTCCTCCCTGCCAAATAATCATTTACTGAATGGCAACTCCTCTAGTCACCAACCCAAGAGATTAACTTCAATGGACGACGACTCATACTTCTCATACCCCAACTTATTTACCTCTCAAAACTCAAATGTTGGATCTCAGACTCATTCAGATAACAGCCGTTCTCCACATGATCTGTGATGGAGAATTATCATCAGCAACACATCTCCTCATATGAGAAGTTAAGTCTTGCTCACGAATGTGTTTTATCCCTGCAGTATGTACTTGTTTTTTTTTTTTTTTCTTATTTTCAATGAGCATGCAATCCCTGGCTTTGTATACTGATGGGTGTAGCCACTATGTAATTGCTTAGTTCAAAAGCGTTACTGTTTGTGGCTTGGCCTGCAATCCCTGTAGAAATTTATAGTTTTGGAATAAAAGCATTGAGGTTCATTTTTATTTGCATTTTTTGTTTCAAGGATAGCCAGCAGATATATGAGTTAGGTCACTGGAGGATATTAGACATGGACAACTTCATTTGTAATTTTGTAATATTATGGCATGTTACAGTGTGGAATATATCACTTCATTAGTTTTTTTTCGTGAGTAATTTGTAACAAAGGAGTTTTGTGGTTCATGTCTCTTTCCAAATCTCTTAGATATGCATCATTTGACAAGTAATCATTCTTAATTTTTCAAGAACAAGAATAAGACAACTATTCTTGGTCCTCACCATTTATTTATTTTTTATTAGTTTAATGGTTTAAAACAATAAGTTCCATTAACCCTTACATTGCATTGTTAGACTAAAAATAATATTATAACATAATCCAGGTGTTGCCTAATAGCGGAAGTATGTTAAAAGCTTGATTGTAAAAATTGGGCCAGGCTCAAAATGAGATAAGCCCAAATTGCTTGATACTTTATATGGATTTTGTTCTACATTTAATATTTATTAATTTAATGTACTTAAAATCACTAAAACTTAAAGAAGAGATTGAGTGAGATTGAATATGTTATTTTATCATACTAATGTTTCAAAATTTGAACTATGGAATGGAATTGTCTTAAACAATATTTATTATTTCATATATTCATATTTGATTATATAAATATGTAAAATTTGATTAGAATTATCAAATTATGTTATATATATATATATATATATATATATATATATATATATATAATGTTTTTATATTTTTTAATAGAGTGATATAATGATTTGACTATTAATTGATTGATCTATCTTTTGGTTGGGTCAATTATTAGTTCTATTTCAATAACACTTGGCTTATTTCTTATTATTGTCATTATTATAACTAGATAAATTAGAATAAAATTGTATTGTGATAGTATCTTTAATATATTTGTATAATGAGAAATGTGAATGTTATGTATATATTATTAGTGGATTTCAAATATTCTCTACTTTCATATTGATTTTTTTTATATAAATAAATCAGTGGTGTTGTTATAGGAATATAAGATTTCATAATGTTTATCTTCTTTATACCATTTTCCTTCTCCCCAACACATGTTTATGAAGATGGTATTGCCTCCTCCCTACATATGATATGGAATCCGATGAGTTGACTATGGTTAGCTTGTTATGTATTTATGTCGAGGTTGGAGCATTCGAAGAAGAACATACACTCCATGTGTATTTGTTGAAGGTCGGATTGAGACAAAACTCTTATTCTTCTTATAGTTTACCAAATAATATGCACGATTGAAGTTTGATTTAAAATTGTTCACGTCAAATTGAGAGACAACTAGTTTAAAATTTTCAATAACACATAAATTAGTTTAAAGCAAATATAAGATTTCAACTGTACTAAAGTTTCCTTGTTTTAAATGACCTATGGTTCAATTTCTTATTATTTTTTGACTTGTTTTGCATATTTATTCTCATGGGTCAACAAACACCCTTCCATTTGCTACACGAGATCAGGTTCACCTGCTATAAAGTATGTATTTTTGTCTAACTACAAACAAAGTTAAGTGTATGCAAGCATATCAAGACATAGACAATAAACTAAATCTATTCAATGTAAAACTCATTTGGTGTGCATGAATGAATGGTGATATACATATAGAGAAAGAGAGATTAAATCTCATTTAAACATCTTAGCTAATTTTACGGTAATAGTTTCTTTTGTAATAGTTAGGAGAAAGATAAGTGTAAGAAAAACACTATTTTAAAAATATTGTGGTACATTTTTTTTATTTTATTATCTTTCTTCTTAGATTATATTTTAATTTTCAACCACTTGAGTTGCTAGATTAAATTAAAATGCTTCTATTCTTTTAACCATTAAGCGAGAAGAAAAGTGTTGAGAACTAATTCAACAACATAAATCTATGTTTTAATACGAAAAATTGATTTTGCTTCACATGTCAATTAACATCTTAGAATTGAAGCACTTCTAGTAAACAAATAAAAATAAAAATTGTAATCAATTTCTTCAAAATTTAAAAATAATTTAAACTTAAGATTTTTTTTTTACTATTTTTATTTTAAAATTATTTATAAGAACATTTGATGGTATAAATTATTACATAGTTTGATTGTATTTCCTTGTTTATTCCAAAAAATTATTTTATAGTATTTTTAGATTTAAGATTTTCACATAATAACGTAAATTATAATAAGAAGACTAACATTAATGAAAGATATCTAACAATAATATGTTATTTAATGTGTTTGTTCTCTAATTTTTTTTAATCTTTTTTTTTGTCTTATCATACTTTTTTACGATTTACTATAAAAAAAATATTATAGTCAAACACAAAATTTTAATCCCTTATTTTTAATCGACGTCCATCAAATAAATTATCATAATTTTTATTTTATTTTAACTTTTTATAATAATTAAATCTTTATATTATGTTAAATCAAGTTTGGATTCATCGTTACATTGATTAAAATAAAATTTTATAATATATTAGATGATGCCATGGTTAACATGCTTTTATATTATTATCGGTTTTCGGATATAAAAAAATCATTATTATAATAGATTATAAAAAAAAGAATTCTTTTTAAATCAAATATATACTTTAACTTTTTTTATAAAAACTTTTTTATAAATTTTTTTTCGCTGATTTTTATAAAAATCATTATTGTTCCACTTCTCTACCAAAATTAAGTTCAAAAAAATGTTGGAAGAATTTTTTATATAACTCATTTTGAGTTTATGCATGTAGGCGAGTAATCAATCTTCTTTCTGTTTTGTTTATTGTTTTAGAAAATTTTACTTTGTAATATATTTATTTATTTAAATCATGTCATATGCACAAATGAGCTAGAAAAAAAATAAATATTACGTGAAAATGGTTAAGAGGTGTATTTTAATAATTTCCTTTATTATTAAAATTTTCAAATTAATAAGATGTCATCATAACAATAAAATTTCATTATAACTTCAAAGTTAATAATAATAATAATAATAATAATAATAATAATAATAATGTTAAAATATGATAGTAACTTAATAATTTTATATGCTAATTTATTAATGTAATTATGAAATAATAATTTTTTTATTAAATATGTTTTATCTTTTTATTTTTTAATAATTTTAATTTTTATATTTAAAAGATATTAATTAGTTCTCTAACTTTATTATGTTAAAAAAATCATTAAATATCAAATTTAAGAATAAAAAATTATTAAAATAAAATACTTTCAATAGGCTTAATTAATACTTTTTAAATATAAAAATAAAAATCACATTTGATAAAAAAAGATACAAGGATAAAATAAAACATATTTCATCCATTTTTTTTATAAAGAAGGGAAGGAAAAAAAAACCTATTTTTTTTTAAATTGTTGTAATGGACTGAATTTGGTGTAGTTAGGAATTTATTAATTTGCAACTTAAATTGATTGGTTGCATTTCAATTTTTTTTTAATATACACATCATTCTTTATTTAATTTTCCAATTAGTATTTGAATACTAATTTATTTTTATTTAAATTAGATGAAATGGTCGATGTTTGTATAGTAAATAAAAATTGTGGAAGTCACATACTTTAATAATTGATTAAATAAGTAATTAACCAATTTATGTTTGAATAAATTTACTGAATTTTTTTTAAGAAAATAAATTTTAATTGGATGAAAAATAAATAAATAAATTTATACATATAAAGAAAAAATATATACGGAGTTAAAACCATTAAAAATTATCATAATTGTTCATATTCGTAAATATTTTATTTTCAATATTTTTTGATTTTAAAATTATTAAAAATATAAAATGATGTTAAGAAAAACTTGTTAAAACACAAAATATATATTCGTAAAATATCATTTTGTTTTATTATTGAGAAGGGTATTCTCCGAATATCAGTTATAGAAACCTAACGTGGTTTCAAATCTGAAGCTGAAACCTAACCTAGTACAGCAGACGCAGTACCCAACAGAAACTGCCGCCGCGACGCCGTCTCAATTTAATCATTGATACTTCCGTATGTTATCATTGTTCACACTTTACGAACAATTCATGACTGATTGATGATGCATCTCGCTAGAGTAGAATGTTTTTGTGATTTTTGCGAATCGTTTCATATATCAAATTACTGTTTGAATGAATGAATGATTGCCGTTAAGTTTCTTATAGTGTGTATCGGATAGTATGTCAGTAACTTAGTGTGGAGAAATAAATCACATTATGGAATGTTGAATTGATGTTAATTTAATAATGTGCTGTAGAGCCGTAGTTATTACCTACAAGAATTCAGTAACTATGTGTCGATCTAATTTGTCTTTTTCAATTTTCTCGAGCCAAGGGTCTGTAATGCATTTTTGTTGGTATTATAGGCAAAGTGATGCTTAGGGTTATACTGGCTTCACTTCCTTTATGTGACTTTAAGGAGGGTTATGTTATATGTCAATTATTGGTGTTGATGATGAGAAATTACATGGAACTAATCTATTAATATTAGATTATTGGTCAGTCTATTGCCAAATCACAGAACACAAAAGTATCATTTGTGTTACATTTTTTTAAGATTTCAGGCTTTCAAAGGATCAAACCACTAGTACTCTTTATGTTTTCAGTGTATAGACTTTAAAATACTTTAAAAGGACAAGAGAAACTGAAACAGAAGAGATGAGTGACTTAGTGTGGGGCTGGTGAGAGTTAGATGTTTGCAGCCTTGCCCTAGTAAGCTGAAAGGCAGAAACAGAACTAGCTCAGATAAGGACAAAAAATTGAAAATAGCCTTGTACATAGTGTAGTTTCACTTTCACAATGGTACCCAAACCTAATAGTTTCTTTTGATGATGATAGTAATATTTTGTTGTATCATTTACCAAAAGTTCCAAGACTGTTTGTAATGTGAAACAGTGAAAGTGTCTACTTGATGTTTTAGGTTGAAGTCATGGTGCAAGAAAATGGTAAAAGGAAGAGTCCGAACATTCTGGTGACTGGAACACCAGGGACAGGAAAGACAACCATGTGCACTAGTCTAGCAGAAGCCACCCAGCTCCGCCACATCAATATTGGAGAATTAGTAAAAGAAAAGAACTTGCATGATGGCTGGGATGATGAGCTTGATTGTTATGTTCTTAATGAAGACTTGGTAAGCTACCAATTTCTCTGTTTTCGACCATTTCTGTAGGCTTTTGTTTGCTATTTAGCTCTTCTAATGGGAGTAGATGTGTAAAGTGGAAAAAAAGTAAGAAAATAATTTCCTTGCCATTGATTGAAATTGGCAGATACAATATTTCTTATTTTGCACATCTCAAATTTGAATAGCATAAAATTTTTTATATGTTCTTTTAAGTTCATTTTGTTTGAAGGTGTAGATAGTAGATCAATAGATGCTAAATGATAACTAATGATGATCCTTGTCAAAACTTGAGGGGGTAGATATATTGAACATTGAATTGGGGATTATCTCTACACGTCTTTATTCCACTGGTAGCAATTAGCAAAGGTGCATGCTACTTAATGGTACAATACTCCTGGATTAGTTTTTAATATGTCTTGGAGATTACTAATAACGAGATTGAGGTTGAAGGCACTGAGAAAAGTCGAGACTCTTCTACTCAACTCTTTATTGAAAGAATCTTCCTGAAGTAGGAGTGTTTAAGATCCTACACTTTATAGACCTGGTCCGACCAGCCACATGTCCTTGGCATCTGTTTTTATTCCTCTAATATCTAATCCCTTTAGCTGTTCCTATACATGTGTTGAACTTCTAAGGTACAAACTAAATCGAATTTTTCTTCTGAATTTTCCTTGAATTTAGTTGTTTATTATACTATGGATTATGTACGTCTAGTTGTAATTTCTTGGGCCCTTCATTGTCAAAAGAAAATAAACGCCTCTTTCTTTTCTAATAAGAATAATTGTGTCGAGATACTTTAGTTTGATGAATTTCTGGTCGGATTTGGTTTATGTTGCGTTGGATTGCATGAAACAATTTTAATATTATCTCATCATGTGTATGTTGCGTGATTTATGTAGGTTTTATAATTTTACATGGTTTCTGTAGGTCTGTGATGAACTTGAGGATGTTATGGAAGAGGGGGGAAACATTGTGGACTACCATGGCTGTGATTTCTTTCCTGAGCGATGGTTTGACTGTGTGATTGTACTTCAAACTGATAACACCATTTTGTATGACCGTTTGAGTAGGAGGTATGGAAGCACAAACACTTGCTTTTGTTATTGAACGTTGATTTTGCTACTCTGTTATTGATTTCATTATAAACTTGTAACAGGGGATACAAAGATCCAAAGCTTTCAAACAACATTGAATGTGAAATCTTCCAAGTTCTGCTTGAGGAGGCTAGAGAAAGTTACTCGGAGGATAAAGTGATAGCATTCAAGAGTGATAATATCGAAGACATTAGTAGAAATGTTGCAACTCTGACAGATTGGATCAGAAATTGGTCCTTACCCTCACAATCTTAACAAAAATATAGGAGTACTTTGTATATACTTGATGAACTACTACCTGAAGCAGATCTGCAGTGTGGCTGAATTCTCTTATTATGGTATGGCATGTATCTGAGACATTTACGTTACGGTTTTTAATTTGTCAATTGAAATGATATCCCCGCCTACTTTTAAAAACAGCACTGTCCACTGCTTATTTTGCCATCACCATCACCACCACGTTGCATTGTTCAATATCATATAAACAAGGCACAGGGTAGGGTGGGAAGCTGTCATGTTTCTGGTAGGGAAAAACTTTAACACTATCAGATTTACTTGATTTTAAATCAGTGGTTCAGAAATTTTCAGTTTTTATTTTTTATTTTCTTTCTTGTTTTTTTGAGTTTACCTTTATTCATGTCCATAATTTATATTGTTATCCTAAAATTACCCTTACAATATCTAAAACAGAGTGAGTTTTCAAATCAGATTAGGAGAGATAATTTTATATCATTCATTTTATTTAAATATTTCAGTGAGAGCATGTCAACTAATAAGGTTATTTCAGAAAAATAATAATAATACATGAATCAAGAATCTGACAAAATTATTCAAAACTTCCAAGTATTTAAAGAACTTGATTTATTCTCTCTCCAGGAAAGATCCTTAATAAATAACTAAGAAAATATTATTTTCATTTTGACACAAAAAGAACAAGCCAATATCAAGTATAATTCAAGTTGAGTTTCTCACATCACAAACCAAACAACGTAGGACTTAAAAATATGCATAACTGAAATTCTTTTTAAGTAGTACACATTTTTTAGAATAGTTTTAACCAATTCTAATGAGTGGGAGACTTGACTGTTTTAATTTTATATTTTGATTTAACCTCTATCCATTCTAATAAGTGAGATTGTTCTAATTTTGTATTTTGATTTAATCTCTATCCATTTATTTTGTCATAACTTTTTCGTAGATGTCTTTTTTACTCATTCTTATTTCATCGAATTCTTTATTTTCATGATTTTAATTTGTACATGAGACTTGAAATTTGGAGATTGAAAATATTTTTAATAATTTATAGAAGTTATAGCTTCATTCTTTCTTCTCTCATGGCTTAGCTATATTTGTAGTTCGGTTTTCTATGGAGATGACCAAACTTAGGCCCAATTAAAGACCAAATTTTAAATGTGTTTCTACAAAATTATAAAAATACAAGAAAAACTACTACCATTTTTACAAGGTTGAGAAGGAGAAAGAATTTTATAATAAATTATAATTCAAAGTATAAGGGTTATTTTTAGACTTCTATTTTCCTAATCATGAAACTTATTAAGGGTCAAATGTGTTTTATCTCATAATGTAATCCATCAAAATAATTAATACATGAGTCAACTAAAAATAATGTAGAAAAGGATAACAAGTTTTCTGAAAAGAGGCCTAGTTCCAATTGGATTGTGGAATCTGTAGATTTTGTGAAGGGGAAACTCAAACAACAAGAAAAAAAAATGAAAATAAAACTGAATTTCTGAACCTGATTTAATTCTAGGATAACAATACAAATTATTGATCGATTTATTATTTTTAATTAATTCTCTTAAATGATGTCAATGAGTTGGAAAGTCCTGCAAATAGACTAAAGGAATAATAATTTAACATGAACCCCACTTATGTGGATTTTTTTTTTAAATTAAAGAGAATTGTTTATATGTAATTTTTCTTAAAATTCAAACATGTATTATACATATTGACATTTACATGATATTTTTATTAACACGTAATCCTTGTAAGAAATTCTCATTTAGATATGTTGGGTTCTTTTTTCTTCTAGAATTTTTTTCCTATTATACAAGCAGTTCTTTCTTTTCTTTTCTTCTTTTTAGTTTGTCATTTTTTTTTCATTGGATCTATCTTTTTATTCTAAGGTAAGATTATTTATCTTTTAATATATTTTTCTCCATATTTATTGCTTATTTTATTTGTGCAGTTTTTAACCTTACTCCATTTTTAAATATCAAACTTGGCGTGTAGGTTTCTTAATTTTTAATATTTATAAATATTACTTCCATAAATAAGTGAAAATAATTTTAACTAAAATATTGTGATTAAAACTATTCATATGCAGAATATTGCAATAAAATATAAAACTCATACAAAGTAAAAAACTGCATGTAAGCATTCAATTTTTTAAATTGATAATTATCCAATTTTTAATTTTTAAGGTCATTCCACTTTTAATGCATTTTAATTGATATTTCAAATCAAATTAATTTATTCTTAAAATTAAACTCTATGGAATAGCTTATAAAACTAAAGTAATGACCACAAACTAGCAAGATGTATAAGAAAATGGTTTCAATTTTAGAGAAATTGATTAATTGTGATTAGACCAATTAGTTCATTTTTTAAAACTTCACTTAAAATGTTCTTCCTGTGTCCTTAATTATACATAAAAAAATATATTAAAACTTTCTTATACCTTTTTATGAAACTGCTCCTAATTGTTAAATTTTCTTTTGACCAAAATATATTTAATTATTTTAGTTCATGAGTGTTTAATGTTATGAATTGTGCATTCTTCTCTCTTATGAAAATTAAAGAGATTTTTAAAAATTGAAACTTCTATTCTATACATTAATTATTTAAAAATATTTTCTGGAAAAAAATATAACAACTCCATACAAGTTTTACATAATTAATGTATTAACTTAATAAGTATGAATGAATTATTGATGCATTATATTTAAGGACAGAGAATATTAAATTTACCTTCGATAAATCAAATCTAAAGATTTATTGTCGAATAGTTAGAAATCATCTAAAATAACTTCTTAAATAATTATTACTAAGGTTAACAATTTTCAATTATATTATAAAAGTAAACAACCTTTACTTATTAGTATATTCTAACTAAATTGAAGCTAACAAAATATAATTAATCAGGATCATTCAATAAAAATTGTGCCATAAACATGAAACAAATATCCAGTGAATAAAGAATGACGTTTTAGAACAAGAAAAACTTGATGCATGGTTAATGATGAAGCAATAATCATAACAAACAACCCTAATTTGAATCATAGCAAGCACTTGTCAAGCCCAAGGATCTATGCAAATTGGACATCCTACCATGAGGGTGGGAGGGATAGTCAGCTACCATACACAACTTTACAAAACATCGTAGTCAAAACTATGAAGTATAAACTGCAGATTATAAAAATATATGAAAGAAAGTGTACGGAGTTGTGCTGCAATTTTTTCATCTAAGTAAATTTTACTTCATCAAACTACAGCAGAAGCAGAAGATACACATTGTAACTCAAGAAACAACCCATATGCACAAATGTAAATGAATACAAACAATGCAGTGGGGACTAGACTTACAGGAAAGGACAAGAGTGAAAAGAAAACTTCTATAGTTGAAAAAATGTCATAAATAATTCTATATTCTCCCTTTAACTTAATATTGTGCTGAGAGTTTTACCTCGGACCAGATAACTCAACTGCATGTAGATTTTCAGTTGAGTCAACAATCCAATCAGAATTAGGATGAGGGGCAAGCTCCACTTCCTGGCGCAGAACTTCCACCTTTTGCCACTCATCCCATCTTTCTGCCAAGCCATCACCTTCAAGCATTCTCACCACTTCTGACATCTTAGGCCGGTCCATAGGGGATCCTTGTGTGCAAAGCAGGGCAACCTGAATTAACTGTTCTACCTCAGCATCTATGTAATTGCTATGGAGATCAGGGTCAACCAGCATTTCTAGCTTCTTTTCTTTCAAAAGTCCTTTAACCTAAGAATATACTCAGCAGTGTCAGATTTGGACAGAAATTACTACAAAAATAGATGCATTCAGTGACACAAGCAATGTGTGCTGGCCGAAGAAATTCTTGTCAAGAAGAAAGATGATGGACTATCAATAAATACATGTGATTGTTTTATGGAAGATCATGAATGTATACTCAAATGAGTGCATGTCAATGTTTAACATCATGCCAATTCTTCTTTCCATTTAAAGGCATAGCCTATTTTCTCTTCCCTAAATCAGATCAAGGTAAATTATAAAGGCAGTAACTATCTTTCAGCTGCTAATGGCATTATTAACGTCAACCTTAACCTAATTTTCCTAGTATGCACAGGAAACGTGTTATCAGATAGAACTTGTTTTCTCCTGTAAGACCCGATAGGCCACATTTGATGTCATACACATCACTTTCAATAAGAAAAACAGTAAAAGTACTTTTGAAGCACAAAAAGGACATTGAAATTAGTACAGTCAAAGGAAATATGACAGAATTGAAATATACTATGTATTTTGTAAATCTCTACGACCTCAAAAATGTTTTTCTTAAATATATAATAAAATATGAAAAATAAAATATAAAAAGATTTGTACATATTACTTCTTCAAATAAAACTCATAAAAATAAAGAAAATAAAATACTCTTAGGTACTAGATCGACCTTTACAAATTCTTAATAATAAAACTTCTAAGTAATTTCTCAAAACAAAATTAATATAAAAGTATAATCCATCTGTCCAGATATTACAACAATACAAATAAAAGAGTGAGAATATATCCCATGCATATTACAGACATACAAACGAAGTCAAGTAGAACTAAACTAAACATTCATCACCTTAACAATACATACTTAATCATAAACTTACTCAATTAACTTAAATGCATAAATGTTCATATATTCTTATCTCTTTATGTATGTGGTACTGTACCACACAATGCACTCACATTTGAAGTGGCCTAGGAGTACATGAACTAAATCACAAAGACTCTCTCAATCCACTCTTTACAAGAACAAGCCTAACAAGAGTCAATCAAGATAGTTGGTTGTACTTGTCCCGCATCCTTCTCATAGACCAAAGGTTCCCAACTCTAAAATCCCTAAGACCAAAATAGAAAACCATAAAGACTCTCTTTCATAGATTGCATCAACTCCCAAGAAAGTATAAATGAATGAAACATGTTCTACAAATGCATAACACAAATACATTAGTCCATATATATTTCAAATGACCAAACATAACTTGGATTTTACACTGTTAAATTTTTGCTTAGACTTCTTAAATAACCAAACATATATTGGAATCTTACCTTTCTAAGTCACTGCTTAAACTTCTCAAAATACACTCGTAAGCACATCACGACAAATCACAAAATCTCATTATTATACTAAAAAGCTCTTTATTATTATAACATAACAACATCCATTCGTATAAATAATTCATCACCACATATCTCAAGATATACCCCCAAACATATTACGTGCATAAAGTTTACACATCTTGAGTTATACAAAACATTTTTGTGTAAAACCAACATCATTAGTTAGCAACATTTAGGACTACAACTTTGATGAGAATCACTTTACCTTACTCCATAGAAAACCATGCCTGAATGGGATCGTAATCTTAAGGAGTGAAACAGGATCCAGAGATTTCTAACTACAATACAAATCAATAACTGAACTACAATTTATGAAAATTAAATTTATAATTCTAAAGATTATGAGAATCAAGGGATTCTCCTAGAACCAAGGGGTTCCCCTAAAACCCCGTTCATTTTGCATAAATAGAATCTTAAGATCCTAAAGCAACCCAAATTAATAATTGAATTATGATTTGTGAGAATTAAATTTAAGACTTATCCACAATAATTAAACCCAACAAAATCCTATTGAGTGCTTAGGATTACCTCTTTATCCACAATTTTCATAAACATGAGACATTCTTTACTCGCCCATTTAGCTCAAATGATAATATGTAACACTCTACAATAGAAATTGCTAATCTTAGATCGCTCTCCAAACTCTTCGCATCCTGTCTCCCTCAAGGCTTCTCCCAAGCATCAAAATAAATAAACGTAGAATGAAAAAGAGAAGATATAGAGATTATTTATATACTAACTAATGAGCAGGACTGAACTTTTGAAGATCAAGATCAACTTACTCCTAACTTTTATCTTTCTATCTTTATCATTTATAAAACACTTTTATTTTATTATCCAAGCCTAATAAAATAAATTTAATTAAGCCAAATAAATAATTGTATCATATTTTTTTATTTTAAAAAATAGGACGTTGCATATTTCCTATCCGCAGGCATAATTCTATTCCTATGCCATCCATGTCCGTAGTTTTGAAAGAAGGAAAAACTTACTTTTAAGGGTTGAACAGTAAACATAAATATAATTAACAAAATACACAAGGATATGCTTTTCCGGGCAACATACCCAATCCAGCAACATAACATCATCATCATTTGCAAGTCGAGCCAAGTCAAAAGCCCTTTGTCCAGTGATCAGCTCCAGAAGCATTATACCATACCCAAATACATCAGTTTTCTCTGAAGATTTACCAGTAGATAGGTACTCTGGTGCTATGTGCCCAATTGTGCCTCGTACAGCAGTTGTAACATGGGTGTCCTTGTAGTCCATCAGTTTGGCCAACCCAAAATCCCCAACAACAGCCTCAAACTCCTCATCCAACAATATGTTTGCAGCTTTTACATCACGATGAATAATCTTCGGGTCACAATGATCATGCAAATATGAAAGACCCCTTGATGATCCCAATGCTATTCTTTTTCTTGTTGGCCAATCAAGGGGTTGTTGATGTGTTGGACGCTCTAGAATAATGAAAACACAAGACAACAAAAATTAGGGAATATAGTGTAAAAAACTGATATTTGACGTAGATAAAATATAGAACTGAGTAAGCTAGGTTCATTTCCCTTACAGTCGGGTACAATGTTAGACTACAGTATTAAACATCATTGGAATTCGGAGTTTCTTTATCTTATGATTGTACTTTATCTTCTCTTTTTTTAGTTTGATCATATTTCGTGCATACTTACCACATGATATTGTAAAATCAAATGCACAATCATTTTCGAAGTCAAAGGATAGCAAATCTATAATCGTCGTCAGCACTTAATCCAAAAAAGGGGGCCTGAATTCCTTGCTTAGATGTATATGTTGACATGAATAAGCAAAAGAGAAAGCTAAAGATAGAGTGAGTTTTTTGACTAATTTTACTTTATTCCTGATTCTACTTAACATCATAATAAAGAAATTAACTCCTAGGACTTTGGAACTAGAAGTCTCTATTAAACCACATAAAACAAGTAAACTTTCACCAAACCACAGGCGTTTACAAATTTTAACTTTAAAACTATCTAAGAACTTTAATTGCCAATAGCAAGGATTGGTAGAATTTAAGTTGTGAGAAATAACTGGCAATGATGGCTAATCAAGAAAAGAGAGTACAACAGTTGAAAAACGAAAATGCAAAACTGATATCATATGTAACTTGTTGCAATCCCCCTGAAAACCTCAACTCAAAGCCACTACATAGCAAAAATAGAATAAGGGTTTTGAAAAGACATGTTAAGCAAGGGCCATACCTCTTAAGCATGAGGCAACACTTCCATTGGCCATGTAAGGATATACAAGTAGTCTTTCAGTTGGTGTCATACAGAATCCACGTAAACGAAGGAGATTTCGGTGCACAGCCATGCTGATCATCTCTACTTCAGTCTGAAACTGAAGCTCCCCACCAGGTGTGCGCTCCTCTTTCAATCTTTTCACAGCAACCAGTGAACCATCTGCCAAGCGTCCTTTGTACACCTTACCAAATCCTCCCCTTCCAAGAATGTTCTTATTACTAAAAGTATCTGTTGCAACTTGCAGTTCTCGTAGTGAGAACCTCTTAAGCTGTCCAAGGTGTACTTCAGGATCCTCTTCAGCTGCAATTAGATGTACGGAAGTCAAATTCCATCCAATTATTCCACCAATGCACTACTAAATTGGATTAGAAGGGAAACTCACCAGGAACATCAAAGAAAAATTCTTGTGGTTTCCTTCGACGCCACCATGCAAATGCAATTGCAGGAGCAGCAAATAACAGAGCAGCACCTGCAGCAACTCCTCCAGCTATTGCACCAGTTGCACTATTTCCCCCTGCAATTACACAGAGCACAGCTAGAAACATCAGTGCTTTTATTGAGGTTTCCAAGAACACCAAAAATAACTGTAAACATGTAGCATAACAAACCTACAAAAATGTATGACTGACCAATGACTGGATAATAAAAGAATTTAATCTTGAAAACTTAACATGACAATAAACATCAGCAATGGAGAATGAACAAGTCAATGTAAATAGATACCAACTCACTGCCATTTTCAATCAATAAAATATAGAAAAAGCAGTACATGGAATATGGCTAGTCATTATAACCACATTATACAAAATTGAAAAAGCCACCACTATGGGCATAGCATGAACTTGAAGTTAAAACCCAGGTTAAGAAAGACTAAAGAGCAATAGCTATAGAAGATATGACAAACTTGTAAATAACAATGTCCTTTTATAAACTTTAAAGCGTCAAATGAGCAATAAAGACTACCTGGAGCTGAGATTGGGGATGGTGGGACAAAAGGAGGAGGAGGAGAAAAGGGAGGTGACCCAGGACAAGGGTGCCCAGTGACTGGGCCACATAGATCCAAGTTGTTAGTAAAGCTGCAAAAAGAGCAGTCCATTCAGAAATCATTTGCAAGTCAGAATCAGTGAATGCAAGAATATCTAAAGCTGAGCAAAAAACCTGATGGGAGTGAATAATGAGAAGGAGCCATTATCAGGAACCACACCTGAGAGACGGTTGTTAGACAAATCCCTACATTTTAAGTAAATATTGAGAACAAAACATTAGCTATGCATGAAAAATTGTGAAGAGAAATAAACCACATGTTGAGATAAAACTTGCTCACAGCACTTGCAGAGCAGTAACATTGGTCAGTGACATGGGAATAGGACCAGTCAGGCTGTTGTTGTTAAGCCGGCTATCCTTAGACAAACATACCATGAAAACGGTATTAGATCTAATATTCTATAGTGGTACAGAAAAACAAGACACATAGATCAACAGGCACAAGGCATCATGTTGAGTTTTTACAGTTGTAGATGTAGTCTATGACTATGACAGAAAAATAATAGCGATTTATATAAAGTAATATATTTCTCTTTTTCATTTATGGTTTACTCTTTTTTGTATGCATGAATGGAGAGTCAAATGCACGTGATTTAATTAATGATAATCAAATGTTTTGGGGCTGGGGAGGGATGAAGGAACAATTTTGGGTAGATAGGAATGCAAGTTCCTTGAATGAGGAAGTCATCTAATACACAGAATTTGCAGTAAACCCAAAACCATGGTTGGATGTAAGTCATCTAACTTTAAGATTCACTGCTGAATTTAATTAGTATGTACTGCTAGTGTAAAGCTCTTTTACACTATCATCCAATCATAGATTTCCATGAATAGTAAGAGCTAAATGGAATTCAAAACTAATTGGTGATATTTTTATAATAAAGTAATTCAATACTAGTTTTCCATAATAATTACTTTGAAAGTCATATCTATGATTCCTAATTGGTTAACAGTGTAAAAATCTTAACACGAACAATGTATGAAATTAAATTATTTATTACAACCCATTAAGAATTTATTGTCAAGGGCACTTCAGCATATTCATCTTTTCATTTACACTAATGGAGTCATTCATAAATCATAATGCAAACCAAATATACTGATTATAATTTATAAATAATGGAATTCAGACACAATATTTTTAAAAATTTCCACAAAACATACATGCATAGAACAAATCATCCCAACAATAAGTATACTCACAGGAAACGCAATTTGAACAACTTGCCCAATGACTCTGGGATAGGTCCACTGAAACGGTTTAGATACAAATCCAAGCTCACCAAGTTAGTAAGATTCCCCAGGTCACTTGGAATTGGTCCACTAATGTTATTGCTGTAAAGTTCCCTATTATTAAAAAAAATTGACAAGAAATAATATGAACATATCATATATCCAAATTAATATTTGTAGATTAGAATCTAGCTAAATCATTTTAATAATTTCATTAAAATTTTATCAATGACTGCTAGGCAATCACTATCAGCTATCAAGAGTCATACAGCTGTTAAAGTTAAAAATTTCATTTAAAAAATATTTAAGACAGAGTCTGTTTTCTTCAGGAATACAACAAATGCACAAACAAGTATGGGAAATTTCTCTTGTGGATTAACTATTAATAGGCTCCTTTTCAAATATATTAGAACATTTAGAATAAGATCCACACAATCCCAAAACACAAGAGGTCACGGATTACCTCTTTAAGAAACTTCTCACGAAGTCAAATGCAACTTCTGAATCTCACAAACTCAAATAGATAGCATAACCAAAGAGAACCTATGCACAATTATAATGCTAGTCAAACCACCCTTAGCCAAAACCATTTCCAATTTAGATAGCTTCTCGATAATCACAGCCAACAGTGTGTATAGACAAATAGAGACTAGAACATTTTCAAGAGTCAAGACCAACCCTCAATTCCACCTTCCCTCCAAACACAAAAGTATGGAAACAAATTGCATTGCAAAGAATGACAACCACTCACAAAAGCAGAAAGGACCCTTGAGAGAATATCATATAAATTAGTGTTACCCCATGCCATGGTTTTTATTGGCCAGTTACAAGGTGGAGTGAATAAATCCTTTGATTTCTGTTAGTTTGTTACAACAGTCATTATTGATTTCTATTAATCACTTAGTTACACCTGTCACTGTCAGGTAATAACTAACTTGGAACTTAGATGAGCTTCTCTGGACTATATATAGTTGCTGTGAAGAGAAGATCGTTTACTTTTTCAAACTCAGATAATCAAAACAATTTTTTTTTCCTCGTTGTTTTTCTCTTAATATGGTATCAGAGTCAGATTTCTCTAAACAAAACCTCATTACTTGTACAAACTCAGATAATCAATACAAGACTTTTCATATTGTCTTTAATGGTACAAATATGAAGGGTTCAGATGCTTTAGATAAACCCCCAATTAAGGATAATATTATAATTATTTTGAATAATAAACAGAATAATAATATAATAACATGCACTTATCAAGTTCTGTATCTTATAAAAAACTTACCACCAAAATTCTACATTTCAAAAACTGAATAAAATGTTATAGAAAGGACACCTTCAAAAAGTGACAAAAAATTATGTATCCATAACGTTAGAGATTTGAGTACCAACACTGACCACAACCACACTAGTAGAAAAAACAATGTTTCAAAAGACTGCGGCTTCTGTGCAACTCAAATGAAAATTATGAAATGATGACAGTCTTAAATACTATACTGTTTTTCCCTACAATTTCCTATGATACTATTGAAATAGAAAATTAAAATGGCAAACAAAATATAAACAAAAAATAAAACAAAGTATGGTCATCCATTAACCAAGTTCATAAAAATATTATAAAAGGAAAACTAAAAGATTGAAACACCAAAGGATGAAAGTATCACATACAAATACTGTAAGTTTTTGAGCTGGCCAAGTTGTGGAACAAGTTGACCAGACAAGGCAGCATTTCCCAGATCACTGATATTAAACCAAAGGAAATAACACATTAAAAAAATAAAAAAGATGAAATTAAGCTGTAAAATACAGAACAAACATAAATGTGACAGATATCAAGGGACAAACAGCTTACACTCTAATGACACTATTATCATTGTTGCATGTTACATGAAACCACGTGCATGGATTCACCAATGTAGGGTCCCAACTTTGCAAAACATTGTTAGGATCCTGTAAATTTGTCCTCAGGTTATGTAAGGCGTCACCTGTTTCATGATACAAGGACAAAAGATCAGGTGCTGTGAAGATTATCATCTTGAAAAATATCTGTAGACTGCAGCTAACGAAACAACACCCTATTGATTGGATTTGAGCAATACCTCCCCCAAAACACACAGAGAAAGACCAAAAAATAAAAAATAAAACAAAACAAAAAGTTCACCAGTAGTTGATCTATGCGAATCAGAACATTACAATCAGGTCCCTACTAGACAAACAAGTACAAACAACTGAGGGAAAAGGTAAGCCTAATGAACACTGTTCCTATTCCCTATGAGTAATCATTCAACACTTTGTTTATATTACTAACTCTATGGATACACAGAGGAATGGCATTGTCATCAAATGTTCTCTAAAACAAAACCCACAAGACTATTGGGACAAAAACGGTAGATACAATTTCGCTCAGGACATTTGTACCCGAAAAAGAATTATGATGCCATCAAAACCATTCGAACACTTGACATTCCACAACCACTAGACAAAAAGCATAACACAAAAGGCACAAACAATGAAACACCAACAAAAGGTTCAACCCAGTTATCCAACTCAAACACAACCAAAGCTTACATTCCTCAATAAATGAGCCACAAAGTAAAGGGCATCAATAAAAAATAAAATAAAATAAAATAAAAAACAGAAAAACACAAACCTTCCATGTTAGCAGAAACCAAGCACAATGGGTGAGCTAAGAACACCCACCAGATGAAAACAAAACCGCACAACTCTCTCTCCATCAAAAACTAGGTAACCAGAACAAACCTCAGATCCAAATGGTACCTCACCCCCCAGCACACCATCACAAAACACCAACAATCTTATTCTCCTGAAAAACCCAAAATGCCATAAAACCCTAACCCCCCAAAAAATCTCACATCCAAGTAACCACCAGCATTACTAACCATCTCCACACCCAGAACCCGATCCCATCAAAACCAACCTTTCTCACTTCCAAAAACTAAAAACCCAAAAATCATAACATTTTCCTACATTCTTCTTAAAAAAAAAAAAAACAAAAAATAAAGTTTGCTTTTAACTTTTCCTCTATTGCTCATGAAAGAGCATACTTTATTTTAAATTTTTTAATTTATTTATTCTCTTAGTGTATTTATTTATGAGTGAAGACAGTGTTGAGTGTATTTGAGTGAAGCGTGGTATGTGAGAGGGGGCAGAAGAAATGAGTGACTAGTGAGTGAGGCTGCCCGAACGGTGCTGCCCGAATCCAGTCAAAACGCCTTCGCGCTATATCGCGGAAAGCGACGTTAGGCAAAACCTCTCCGTTTTGGGGTCAACAAGCGTGAGATTTTTGTGGGCCTCATTTTATGTTTTCTTAACATGTTATTATTGCTATTATTATTCTGATCATATATTATATTAATAATTATATTATATATGATGATTGATTACAGTGACTTCACATCTTTGACTATTGATGATAATTTAGTTTACTCTTTTCGATTTCAAAAATCACTGTACCAGCTTTTTTATTTTGTCTTTACTTTTATTTGTATTTTTGGATTTGTTTTTTAGAAAATTGCGCTTAAAATTACTTGCATATTTACATGGATCATACTTAAAATTTTATTATATGATGTATTTTGTTTATTTTTTCGAAATTAAGTTTTTCTTTAATTAGATTGTTTCTAAAAACCAATTTTAATGAGAATTATAATATAATCTAGTAATTATAAAAGTTTTCATATCGTTTAATATTTAGACGATAGTTTAACTGAATATTTTCAATTAAATAAACTAATTTTTAAGATTTGATTATAATTAGACAAATGTGAACCATAGCCTTAAGTACTTAGGTCCTTTAGCATTTTATAATTTTTAACGTTTTTCATATAATCTATAATAAACAAATTAATTAATTAATTAACCTTGTAGGGTGATAAAGTGAAATGAATAGGATAAATTTTAATTCAAATTATAATAAAGTAGATAAAATTATTCTATTAATTCATTTTGATTTACTAAATATTATGTAAAAATTAAATTATTTATGATCCATTTAATACAATCAATCCAAATTATCTATTGATTATTTTACCATGGATGGATTTAGATTTAACAAATATTGAATTCATAAACACGTATCAAAGTAATTAAATTGATTATATTTAATTATAAGTATAATGTCATAAATTTATATTTTATTTTTAGGAAAATCATGAAATTTAATAGTTTCGATTAGAGTTATATCTAATGACACTATTTATAATTCAATGAATCATTTTTCAATAAATAAAAAATATTTACATTTTTAATGACCTATAATAAAAGCATTACTTTCACAGTAAATGAGTATGTGGATATAGTTTATAATACACTGATGATATTAGATTAAATTAAGAGTTAATGAGTTTAAAAATTATTATTATTATTATTATTATTATTATTATTATTATTATTATTATTATGGGAAAAAAAGTCCTTATTTTTTGTTATAAATAAATCTGAAAGTAATATATTTTAAATTTAATTATTTTATTTTCTAAAACATATTTTTGAAAATATATTTTGTAAAAATAATGTTTAATTAGGAAAATAAATAGATTAGATTACTTTTTATTCATTAAGTATTAATTAGAATAATTATATTAAAAAATAATAAAGTATTAATTATTTATAAATTAAATGGTGAATTTATTTATTTAATGAATGCATTTGATAAATTTATTTGTGAATAGACGAAAATAAATAGATTCATTTATCATCTCTAAATTTAAGATATTAGTTAGCAAGTTCGTATAACTTATAATTTTTAACTAGTTAGCCAAATACATTATTTTACCTATACATCATATATTAATTTTAATCTATAAAAATGTTTTTTTTATACTAATTATTTATTAAAAAGTTATCTGAATCCTACGCTTTTGGTGTTACTTGTTAGTTGTTGAATATCGCAACTAATTTTCTTTTTTCGGTTGTGTTTTTTTCTAAACAAAAAATTTGGTCTAATCATTAACACTGTGTTTGGTTTAACTGATTTACCTTTTCAAAAAGGAATTATTTGATATTATTTGAATAGATTATATATATTTTGCTTAATAACAAAAAAAAAAATGAAAGATTTGTGAATATTGCCGGCGAAAACATCGAGTTATCTTTCATTTATTATTTTATTTAAAGAATATATATTTAAAGAGAAGTTTAACATTAAACTTAAAATCAATTGATCTTTATTATTTCAATCACGTCGTTCACCTAAAATTTTACAAATTTCTATCATTTTTTCATTAAATCAAATTTATAAAATAGATTTCTCCATGATATTCAGACAGATTTTAATTACTTTTAACCTTTAAAAAAAATAAAATTTAACGCAGATTATTTATATAAGTCAAATATATAATTAAAATTACATATTAAAAACATTAATTAAAGATTAACGGGATAAAAAATCTATTTAACATATGTATAGTTTAATAATATTTTATATTTGCATCATTAATTATTTTTTTAATTAGAATGTTAAATTGTCTTTACAAGTATCCCATTCAATAAGTTTTAGGATTATATGAATTATAAAAGGAATTCTAGATTATGTAAAAATATTTAGTCCAAAAATTTCAAGATTCGTATAGAGGTTGAAAAAGAAATTTTTTTTACTATATTAAAACATTTGGTGTCCAGGGAAACAACAATAGAGAATTATGGTAAGAAGTTGAAAAAGCCCATATGAAAGCACTTAATAAAAAAATGTGAGGACAAGACAAAATTTCAAGGAATGTATAAGTGAAAGAATTGAAATCATTAAAGTGAGTGACAAAAGTATTAACTCGTTCTTGTTTACCATCATTTTGGATAATTTTGAAAATACAAGAAAACAAAAGTGGTCCCAAGACCGAGACATACTTCAATGTCTCAGTTAGAACATCTTCAACCTAGGAGGACATCATCTACACCCCTATGTCGACAAAAACATGGAAATATCATTACTGATAACATGAAGGAACCTAATGATAGATAGGTACAATAAAACTATTGATCTGGATGAGCACATTAACATCCATGTGATGCAGGTTAGCTTGTACACCATAAAGGGTATAGTCCTTTGTAGAGTCTTCCCCACCTCCTTGAAAGGGGCGATACTAAGTTGATTCACTAGATTGCTTCTATATTCCATAGGTTGTTTTGAAACCAACATATCATACCACTTCACATTCATTGATCTTGTCAACATTAGGCAAGACAAAGGAAAACCTCTTAAGACCTTTATAGAAAGGTTCGGAAAAGTAGCATTAAATATCATGAACTTAAACCCTGAAATGACCCTCCATCACCTAGTCACAACCTTAAGACTTGTACCTTTTGTTGGTAGTTTATGCAAGAAACCTACCACCAACTTAACAAAGTTATGACAACAAGTTACGAAGTTCATGCGACTAGAAGAATTGAGGGAGTTTTGTAACCAAGTGAAAGTGAAAAACACCTTGGAAATATGTTTTGCGAAGGACAAAGGAAATAAATCATAGTTTCTATCTAACAAGACCCAAAGAGTCACACGTTCCTGTTTTGCCTAATATACTATGTTGCTCCTTTTAGCAAGGTGGGAAATAACCTACAATACACAACATTAACAATTGTGTACAAGTTGACTTGTGTGTCAGATATATGTTCACATGTTTGTCTAGTTCCACCATTCTGTCGTACCTATCAATTGTTAGGCTTTTCCATGAGGTTGATAGGGAGAGTTTCCATAATTCTATTAATGAAATGGTATCAGTGTTGGCTTACTAATTCCAATAGGTAACATGATTCTCTCTTATCTTCGGTAGAGGCAATTGTTGTCTTTTTTTAGGAATCATGTTTCTTGTTGAAACCATATAGTCATTAAGAGTATTAATTGACCCCATGGTGAACGTTAAAAATGTTCATGTTGGGTCAATAACTTCCTTGATGACAATTAGTAAACTTGGTCGTTTTGTCTTAACCTTGACTTGTTAACTTTACATTCTTTTGTTATCCTCTCCATATAGCCGAGATGAAGGTAGTGTCTATAAAGAAACTTGGACATTCAAGTCAGATAAAGAATAAGTAATGCAATAATTGTGTATGATGTATGAATAATATATATCTTGAAAAACATACTTTTATAATATTTTAAGTAGATTTATTATCTATTGGACGTGGATAAAAGGTTCAATATACCTTCTAGTTGTAACTTATTTTAATTAGATGATAATATTATAAAACGATACTTACCAAACTTTCAAACCATATAAAATTCATAATTTTTAAATATGATTTCACTTTCAAAGTTGAAATGGAAATTTAAATTATGGATAGGTTGAATAGAAAGATTACCATAAATAATGAGTTAAAAAATTACAATTAGCTTTCTTAAAACTACAATACGAACTAGAGAGTGGCAAAAAGTTTGGATTGAAGTGACCAAGAATTGAATACAAACTTGGATTTTGGTTTACAAGGTTTTTGAAGAACACATGAGTTTATTTTTTTTATAATAATTTTGTAGAATCTTATTGCATACAGACAATGCTATTCCAAAAACTAGATGTAAGGTTTTACGTGTATGTGATAGACATGATTGATAAATAAATAAATAATATATATATATATATATATATATATATATATATATATATATATATCAATTTATATCATATGTGAGAAATATATTAAGACATTTTTAGATACTTACAGTAGTTTATATAAATTACTCTTTAACGATTATTACAACAATAAATATAAAAATTTCACTCGAAAAAAAAATCATGCAATACATTCATCCTTTACTCCATAACTTTTTATTATTTTTTTTAACTGTGACTAGTCGTGTTACCAACCATAATTCCACTTGATTAAACATTGATGATGTAGAATGATAAATTAACATCATCGACATATACATAAAAGAAAATTGCCATCATCACACAACATTCATTAATAATCAATGTCTTGTATAAATTTGCACTTCTAAGAATCCTCTGAAGGTCCTATTTCACAACCTACCCTTAGTATGAGTTTTTTTGAGTAAATCCAATTTATGTACACCATCAATCAAAGTAACAATTCTTTTGGACTAATTCATTATTCATCATCAATCCACCAATTTCATCAACAACTACATTTCAATTTAAGATTTAGGTCACTAATTTATTCGATTCGATAATTGATGACTAAATTGAAAAAAAGAATAAAAGAATAAATATATTTTTTATGGACATATTCGATAATTATATTGTTCTTCATTTTTTTAAAAATTATTCTCTTATTCTTAGAAATCTTAAAAGAACGTATACTGTATATACTGATTATTATTATTATTATTATTATTATTATTATTATTATTATTATTAAATTTTTTTCTATGTTAGATCTCTAGTTTTTTTTTTTTCATATAAATTTGTTCACATTAAAATTTGGTGCATCTCAATTATTAGTGTCTGTTATATGATATTTTTTCATTCTCACAAAGAAAGTAATGAAATGTTGCACATGTTAAAGACAGTGTTATAATTAAAGGAAAGTGTTGAAAAACATAGTAGACCAAATACCAATATCACGCATAAAAGTCAAATAAAAAAAGAAAATTTCTATTTTTATTAATTGAACAGTCATTTATGAAAAATAAGAGCAATAACTCTGAAAATTATTTTTAGAAAAACAATAGAAAGAGCAATATAATTTTTTTTCAAGATAATAAAAATTGAAAAAGTGAAACTTATAAACATTGATAATCCATTGAAATTTGAATTATTTTGAATACTAAATATTTTATTTAATATTTTAAAATCTTAATTGAATACAATAATATTAATCCTGATAATCTTGATTAAATACACTTTTTTTTAATGTTTGAAATTGTTGATTAATAATCATAAAGACTTAAAAAAATCTTTTAAAATATTTAAAAATTTCAATTGAATATTATGCCTGTAGTGAAGATTATGCTTGGAGAGGTGGTAATGGAATCACTATATTGATGTATCTTTCTCGCAAATATCCAATATAAAGTCCAATTACTTCATAAATAATACGAAAAATAAAATAAATATTATAGTTAAATGTTTTCACAAACACTATTTTACTAAATATTTTTTATGTCTATAATAAATTATCATTAAATCTATTTCTTCTGATGATAAAGGTTTATTGAAAATTTGCTATGAATATGAAACTTTTTATTAGAAAAAAGTTCAAACGCATCCACAAGTAAATGCCAGAAAGGGCATCATGCTAATGGCTCACCATTGTTTTTGTTGCAAGAACTTGAATAATGGTGGATATGAAAAATACAATAAATATATCATTATCATACTCCAATTTCAAAGTCTGACTAATTTAGCCATGTTCGTACAAGTTTTACATCATCAAAGTTGTTTCTGTCAAGGATATTTCTTTTTGATTTTGTACTCAATGTGTGGAAGAACGTTTGCTGCAAGGAAACAAAGCAATACGTACATATAAGGAAAACCCATTGTAGGTCAAATTTTACATTCTTGCACATGCTTCATTTATGTCTAATTTAAGAGACATTAATATATTCGCCTACTTTAGGCAAGTATTCTATATTATGAGAAGGAACACCATTTACAAATGTGACTGTAAGAGTAAACTAGTACCTAAATAATGAATATTTTATTTTACCGAAGAAAGTGAAAGATCATTTAGAATCACTAATGTTCATGAAATTAACATATATAAGAACTTCAAATTAGCCCACATGAAAACCAAACTAAGTAAAATATAACACTTATCATCTAGTAGTTGCTACCAGTAAAATGAGCTTGGAGAATCTTAGTGTCCTACTAGTTATTTTGAGTTTTCTGGTTGTCTGCAAGAGTCTAGGCAACTTTCATTATTATGATTTTGTTGTATGTTTCATATTCCATCACATTAAGTGTTTTATATTGCCATCTTAGAAGGGGGAGTGTTTACTTATCAAATTGACTTGAGAATCTTTATAACTTAAAGATCTTTTCTTAGTTTTCTTAAACATTACACAACATTATATATCATCTTCAATGTACTAACAACAATGATAATTAAAGATGTTAGTTATTCAAAATCACACTTACTAAAGTGGCTTTGTGTTTGGTTATGAAGTAAAGAAAAAAAAACAAGTGATAAGTGTGACTGATATTTTTCATTGTGGGTGGTTGTTGCAGCTGAAGGAAACGAATTTCACAAAGTTGTGCAGCACGAATACTATACTGACAGTCAATGACAGTTTTCCAGGGCCAACTATTCGTGTTCAGAAAGGAGATACAGCTGTTGTCACTGTCCACAATCATGGAAGATATGGGATCACTATTCACTGGTTACTTTTCCCTTTCTACCTCTCTTTTTATCATTTTGCTTCCTTCCTCTGTTCATGTTTGTGCATAAGCCAATCACATGCATTAGTTATAGGATAAATTTACATTGACACAGTTAAATTATGTTCACCAATAAAGTTCGGCACAATGGATAGATAGTTAAGTTCTTTGAGCATGTTTTCAGGGATTCAATTCCTGATTCTATGCATAGAAAATATTTTGTAAGGAGAGACACTACACACTCAAGTGTTTAGTCTCCAATTATTGATAGAAACCTCTTTAGTACAAACCAAAAAACAGTTTATGTTCAGTATTCCTCTCATTTCTCACCTCATATAGTGCATAGATGCCCTTAATTTATATAATAATTAATAACAGAACATCAGATGCATATGGCTTAAGTTGAGGTGCGTGATGTAATTTGATCATAATTACATGCATCCAGAAATAGTAAAGTGAAAAAATGGAACACTTTTTACAGGCATGGTGTGAGGGAACCAAGGGATCCTTGGTCAGATGGACCTGAGAACATAACACAGTGCCCTATTCAACCAGGAACAAATTTCACTCAGAAGGTGGCCTTTACATTGGAAGAAGGAACTCTTTGGTGGCATGCACATAGTGGTGGAACTCGTGCCACTGTCCATGGTGCCATTGTCATTTTACCCGCCGGTGGAACTTCCTATCCCTTCCCTGAACCTTATGGACAACATACTATTATCATTGGTTGGTAACTGTCTAATGTAAATTCCATTCATATACTTATTCAATCACACACACCTCTTAATCATGCTCTTGGTGCTCTTTTAGGTGAGTGGTACAAGAGAGATATGATGCAAATTTTACATTCAGCCCTGGCAACTGGTGGTGAGCCCAGTGTATCAGATGCTTACACAATCAACGGCCAACCTGGTGATTTTTATGATTGCTCAAAAGGTATATTAATGTCTTGAAAATGTATCCTAAAATAAGCTATTAACTAAAGATACATGAATGATTTTTCAATATCCCTAATACTTTTTCTTCACACAGAACCCTTTTGGACTTGAAACATAAGAATGCACAAGCCCACATGAAAAAATGGTTGTTGGAAACATTAGTGAAAAGTCTAAGTGTTGAAGTTCATGTGAGTTATAGTCCCACTTTGACATAAATGAGAGACCACATGAACCTAAATTTTAAAGTTTTAGGTTGAAAATGAGTCATATTTTCTTATGAATATTTGTTAGATCTTTACTCAGAGATGCACCTGTTTTATAGATTATGAAGCTACAATTAATTACTGTCTTTCACTTTTATCATTAACATTGCTTTGCTTTGCAGAGGCCACGTATCGCTTTTTAGTTGATTATGGAAAGACATATCTCTTCCGCATAATAAATGCAGCAATGAACGAAGAACTTTTCTTTGGGATATCTAATCACAACCTTACAATTGTAGGCATTGATGGTTCCTACACAAAGCCCTTAAACACCAATTTCATCATGATAATCCCAGGACAAACAATGGATGTGTTGGTCTCAACAAACCAGCCAAAGGGTCTCTATTACGTTGCTGCTAGTGCTTTCTATGATGGCAATGCTATGTATAACAATTCCACAACAACAGCTATTCTTCATTACAGTGGGAGTTACACACCACCAACATCATCCATTCCCATGCCTATGCTTCCTGCAGTGAATAGCTCAGGAACAGTATTTAATTTTATCAAGAGCTTGAGGGGCTTGGCAAGCCAAGATCACCCTGCCAATGTGCCAGTAAATGTGACTAGAAAAATTTATATTACTGTTTCCATGAATGAATTACCTTGTCAAAACTCAAAAGGAAGTTGTTCAGGACCTAATGGAACCAGATTAGCTTCAAGCTTAAGCAATATAAGTTTTCAGATCCCACAGATTGATATTCTGCAAGCATACTACTGGTAAATACTTCTACTTTCATTTACAATCCCCTTATATCATTTAGGGCATGTAAAATTGAAGACATATGACACATATAATTTCTCTTAGTATAACAAAGTAATAACTTTTTGTAGATTGTGTGTATTGGCAGGAACATTTCAGGAGTTTTCACTGAGGACTTTCCGGATCAACCACCTTTCTTTTACAACTTCACAGGAGATACAGGAAGCAACACATTAATCCCAAGCACAGGAACAAGGGCGCTAATTTTTTACTATAATGAGGTTGTTGAACTTATGTGGCAAGGAACCAGTGTTCTCACTGCAGAGAATCATGCCATGCACCTTCATGGTTTTAGTTTCTTTGTGGTGGGTGTGGGGACAGGAAATTTCAACAATGTGACAGACCCAAAATCTTACAATTTAATTGATCCACCAGAAGTTAACACCTTTGCTCTTCCTAAGAATGGATGGGTTGCCATGAGATTTGTTGCAAATAATCCAGGTAATTTCACAAATATCCTCATTTAATCCCAAAAATTCTATATTATTGAATTTACATCTCAAGAAATTTGCTTCTGCAGGTGTATGGTATATGCACTGTCATCTTGAGAGACACACTAGCTGGGGTATGGATACTGTGCTGATAGTAAGAGATGGAGGTACCACAGAAACTAGTATGGTTCCACCTCCTGAATACATGCCACCTTGTTCTTAATGAAGACCAAGTAAATCCCATATCACCATATGAGTTAATTGAATGCGGGTGGGATGCAGAACAGAGAAACAGACCATGAAGATATCTTATTATAATTATAAAATAAATTATTTATATACGAAATTTATTTCCAATTTGTTACAATTTTGACTATATATATTTATTAAATAAAATATTAAAAGCTAATAATTAAGTGCCGCTAGTATATAGCCAGTTTTCATTTATTGCCAGGATTGAAGTTATTGCTTATTCTTTGACTTGTGCGTAGATTAGCTGTTGGTTTTCTCATGCCACATTGTTTGTTCTTCAAGCATAGGTTATGTTTAGATGGTGACTTGGATTTGAGAAAGTAGAAAATGTTTGATAAAAATGATAAAAAATAAATTATTTGGACAGAGATAAAGATAGTGAAAAATGATAAAAAATAATAATAAAAAGATTGTAGTTAATAAAATTGATATTACCGATTAAAAAATAATAATCAAAAGATTGTAGTTAATAAAATTGATATTATCGATTAAAAATAAATAATAAAATAAATTAGAAATTGTATTAAGAATAAATATAATTTAATTAAGATATTATTTAATATGAAATAATTATTTAATAAAATGATAAAATAAATTAAAAATAATTTATATATAAATTAAAAAGAACTTCCAATAACAAATATATATACAACCTATACAAAAGGATTAGAGAAAAGACAAAAGAACGTAATAGAAAAAAATACAACTCATCATATTACAACAAAGAAAAAAAAGTAAAAGCAAAAAAGGGCAATTGTGTGGTTGTGCAATGGTGCAGAAACAAAATGTGGGGTATGGTTGGTACGATTAACGTGACGATGTGTGAGCCTCACTAGTACATAAATCATTTTTAAGATCGAATTTTTTATATCTTTAAGATACTATGGATCGATTTAGAAAATTTTTTTATTATATTAAGAAAATTGTCTTTAAAATTAATATCTTAAAATTAAATATTAATATTTTAACTATTAAATTATTAGAATTTTTTTATAAAAACTTACAAATAATTATATTTATATATAAATAAATTTATATCCGTGTAAATATATAAATATAAAATATATAAATACAAATATATTTATATATTTTGATATATTTATATAGTTATATATTCACTACAAGAAAAAATCGCATATTTTCAATAGATTTTTACCGACGAATTTGTAGTTATCGAAAAATGAGTCATTACGGACGAAAATTACCGACAGATATAGAATTTGGTCTTACCGACAGATATATCTATCGGTAAAATAATAATTATTTACCGATGGATATATCCGTCGGTAAATTTGTCGATAAATTAACAAATAATTACCGACGGATATATCCGTCGGTAAATCGATCAATAAATTAACAATTAATCACTGACAAATATATCTCGTCGATAAATTTATCGGTAAATATATCGAAAAATTAATAATTAATTACCGACGGATATATCCGTCGGTAAAATTATATAATAATTACTTAATATATTCTAATAAATTAATTATTCACCAAATTAAAAAATTAAATATTTTTTTATTTAATAATTTAATGTAATCATAATTAGATTAATTTATATAAAATTTATTAAATTAAATAATTTTAAAAAATAAATATTTAATTATATATAAATATATAAATATAATTTATTTGTAAATTATTATAAAAAAATTCGAATACTTGGGTTCGAATCTTGCCAATGACAATTCTCTTAATTTGATAATAATTCAAAGCTATAAAAATACAATGGGGTGGAAATATTTATTGACGGATTATTTAAATCCGTCAGTAATATTTATCGACAACCCAATTTCGACGGATTTTTGGTCATTGGAATTACGTTGGTAATTTCAATATTTCTTGTAGTGATTTACATATTTATATGTTGGATGTTAGAGTCACGCTTGAGGGTGAAAGTGTGTGTCAAGTGGATTTTCAAAATTTAATGTCAAATTTGTGAGCGAGTCTCTTTATATGGATTTGTAATTTAATGATAGAATATAATCTTTATAATTTATTTATAAAATGATATAAAATAATTTTTTTCTTTATTATTTATTATATTTTTTAAAAGCCTATTTTTCTACTAGTGACCATGGTAAAGATGAATAAAACTTTTCTTTTTCGTTTAGTAGGCAAGTAATAGAAATCTTTGTACAAAATATGATCAAACTTCATGGGTTCCCTATAAAACAAAGGCAAGGTTTTCATTAGCAAATTTTTGCAAAATTTATTCAAATTGAGTGGCAACACTCTTAGAATGTCAACCATTTATCCTCATCAATACCATGGACAATGGAGGACTTGAACAAATGCTTAGAAATGTATATGTTTTTTCACGTGTTTAACTGATTGAAATTTTTATCTTTGACAAAATATTGGTACAAACATGACTCCTTTCAAGATTGTTTATGGGTGAGATCCTCCCTATTTGATTAATTACATATCTTATTTGAATGATGCAACCTTAATTCAAGAGGAGCTACTATAAAAGGATATCATTATTACAAAACTAAAACAAATCTTATAGAAAATACAACAAATCATATAAAATCATATTGATAAAAGGAGAAAATAGATTAAATTTTAGGTGAGATATTATATATTGGTTAAACTTCAACCTTATAAACAACATTAATTAGCACTTACAAAGAATCAAAAGCTCTACCTATAAGTTGTTATTACTAGATAATGCTAGAATTCATTAGACTTTTCATGTCTCACAACTAAAACTTTATTCGGAGGAGCATTATCAATCATATCTGCCTTTGCAAATAACATCTAGAGGAGACCATCAATGTTGTAGCTAATAGATATTTTGAACTTGAGGGTGAAACAACCATACACATGTTCAACATTTGGTCCAATGGGAAGGACCAGAGACTAGTCAAGCAACATGGGAGGTTCACGATGTTTTGGAAGTTACTTTTTAAGCTTTCAACCTTGGGGACAAGGTTATATAGGGAAGAAAATGTAATGAGATCAATAAAAGAAAAAGAAAATAAAAAAAATATTGAAGAGAAATAATGGATCACATGTGACAACAAGGGAAACAATAGAGAAAAATTAGAAGAAATTCTTGTAAAATAATAACCAATTCAAATTTAAAGAATTATGAATGAATTTTTTTTTAAATAAAAGTATTTCAATCATGTTGTGGTTGTGGTAATATGTTAAAGCTTTTTTTCTCTTTTTCTTGATTCAATTTTCCAAGGTTAATTGTTTATAATTTCTTACTTTTTCAATTGTATTGAATTAAATTGTATGAAATTACAATTATTTAATAAAATGATATTGTCCAAGAAACCACTGCAAGAACTTAAATGAAGACGAATATTATATATATTATGTACTAAAATTCGATTATAGAAAATACAGTTCAAGATAAAGATAATTAAGTTTCAACCTTTCTCTCAAATGAAAGTTACATACACAATATATAACACTTAAATCTAAGAGATTCTTATGCTGAAATAAATATTTTTATTTTATAAAATTATATTTTACAAATATATATATATATATATATATATATATTTTATTCCCTGTTTTTTGCAATTGCTATTATATATATTTAAGCATATAGTTGATTTTGATTGTTTGACACGGTCCTGTTTTCTTTTTTCCTGTGCCGCATTGTTTATTCGCCAAGTGTTGCATCTTTTGGTGCAATTTAATTTGTACATATATTTGCTTATAGAAGGAGCATACTTTGGGCATTAACATATACGGAAAAAAAAGTCGTTTATGTATAAAATCCAGTTTTAAAATTATTTAAGTTAATATATTTTTCAAAGTTTATATATTTAATTGATTTTGCGGATTGTGTAAATATTACAGATATTTTGACAACCCCAAATTATATAATCTTCAAAAACAATACTCTTTTACTATTATAATATTAATTTTAATTTATTTTTATTTTTATTAAATCGTTTTATAATTATTATATTAATAAAAGTGGGTTATTTTTTGAATATTGTATGTTTACGTGTTGTGAAAAATATCAGTTCTCTTTACCAAATTTTGATTTTTCAGTCTATCAAATCACACTGGAATAATAGATACCCAATCCAGTGCATTTGGTGATACTTTCTTTAACGTACAGGTGTTGATGTATTGACATCTTTTGATCATACGAAATGACTAGACATGTTGCAAAGTATTGGACTGTTGATCCATTTTTGTTCCAACGAGAGAAAATAATTTCTTATTATGATGGAGCAAATCATCTTAGTCAGTGACATAAAACTATATGTTTTAAAAGACATACCAATTCAGAAGCTAACCATGTTTGACACTAATTTTAATTGACAACCTTGTCTCCTTCCTCTTACAGAAACCAACAACAATTATTCTTAGCAGAATTAGCAAAGCATACTTTGGCAGCAGCCTAGAACTTTTAGCAGAACTTTCTCCCCCATCAATTTAATGCAGCACAGCGATGAGCCAATTCATCAACAAATTCTGCAGTATTTTTATCAGAATTTCCTCCCTCATCAACGTTGCTCTTGGCAAGATTCTTCCATTTGATGGAGTTTTTCTTTATTTCACTTCCTTTTTCACTCTCCAACATTTCCTTTATGCAATGTGTGATCGTTTCTCTTCTAACTATACCTTTCTCATCAGCAACAGCTTTGACTCCAATTTTCCACACATCCTTTATAAGTTTTGCGTTTGTGATCTGGTCTGTCCACAGTGGCATTGCAATCACTGGAACTCCTAAGCTCAAAGCTTCCAATGTGGAGTTCCAACCACAGTGTGTGAGAAAACACCCCAAAGCCTCATGTGTTAATACTTGTAGTTGGGGACACCATGTGACTATTAAGCCCTTCTCTGATGTGTCCAAAAACTCCTTTGAAAGCTTTCCTTGCTCAGAATCTCTAATCACCCATATGAAATAACTTCCACCATCTCTTAAACCCCAAGCTAGTTCCTCAATTTGCTCCTCACTGAGATCTCCTATGCTCCCAAAAGAGACGTACACAACTGACCCTTTTGGTTTGTCACTAAGCCATTTGATGCAAGCTTCTGACTTTGGATTATACAAGTTAACACCATAGTCCTTGTCATCTTGGAGTCTTTTGTCCATGTACATAGATGGCAAAGTTGGTCCTATTGGCTTTAATGGCCAAATCTTCACCAGCCAATCCACAACCTAATAATGAATTTCATTCAAAACCAGTCATCAATATTATCCAATAAAAAAATTAGGATAAAATGTGTTTTAGATTTCTCAATTTTCTGTCAGAATTAGTCTTATATCATTTACAATAAAGGTTTTGGCCCTCAGACGGTCGATTTTGTTCTTCTTTGCAAAACATAGGAGACAAATTTTACCTATTATAGAAACAAAAATATGGATTGTCTAACAATCATCTCCCTTATAGAAAATATAAAAGACCAAAATTTAAAACATAGAGGCTAAAACCAATTTTGATAAAAATTTGAAGAAACCTAAATACATTTTACGCAGATAACTACTACTGTCTAATTCATTCCAATAAATAAGAACAGGTCAAATTAATGAACAGAATTTTCAGCTAATGAACTCTCTTGCTTACCCCTTGCTCCAGTTCATAAAATGTGTTTGCAAGAACCCAATCTGCTTTATCAGTATTGGAAAATTGATTCACAACTACATTAAAGAAACCTGGATAGGTTCCATATTTGCACAAGAATGATGGCAAGTCCGCAGCTGCAAGTTTTGGCAACCCTGGAAACAAATATTCTGTCTGTTTAAGAGGCAGCTCCAGCCACTTGTGATAAGTATGGAAGTATATGGTGTTTGTTGTGCAACTCTGAGTGAAGAAAGTAGCACCAAGAAGCCCAAAGTTTTTGGCAACATCAAGAGCCCAAGGCATGAAAGCATCATAGATTACACAATCTGGAGGGTGGCTTGATCCTGCAAGCTTCTGAACAAGCTCAGCAAAAGTTTGTGACCCAACCCTCCAAAATGTTTCTAAGTAAACCTCAAGGCTCTCTGCTACTCCATCATCATAGCCATCTGAGATGCTCTCAACTTCTATGGAAGTGAAGTTTTTGCTGCTAATATTTTTCCAATTGGACACAACTGTTACCAGTGTGACCTTCACTCCTCTCTGAATCAAACGCTTGGAGAACTGAAGCATAGGATTGATATGTCCTTGTGCAGGATAAGGTAGAACAAGACAGTGAGCTACATACTTTTTCCTCTCCTTCTCCATTTCTAACTCTCCTTCACTAAACACTGGATTTGTGTTCACTGGCGCCTGGTAAAAATATATAAACAAAGTGAGAGGAGAGCCAAAAATATATGGTGTAAGAAATTCTGCAATAAAAAAGGACGAAAGTGTGACATCGCAGCAGGACCAATAACTAAAAGAATATTAACAAAATAATATTTATTTAATTAATATACTGGTTGCAGATAAGTGCATCAAATATGGACCGACAAGATTAGATTCAGTGGAAAAATTGTGAATGTTTTTTTTTTTTTTTCAGTTTTAAGAAATGTTTTTTATAATAAGTAAATATTTAGGTATTAAAAAAAAAGATGCAGAAAATAATGAGGTACTAAGTTACATGAATAACACAGCTTACATAAACAAATGTCACATTTAATCATTTAAAATAAAAACTGAAAATGTGAATACAAAAATTATTCGTAAAATGTGGAAATGATGTTGAAAGCTTGAAAGTTCATAATTGATGAACATAGAATGTTTCAAAGAAAAATGATAGAGATATATACTTCTAATTTTTTTAGGTTTATAACAATAATTACTTTTTCTTCACGGTAAGGGTTGTGGTTTGAGATGTTATTTAAATATCTAATTTCATTTTTTTAAATATTAAATACTGCCAATTTAGTTTTTATAGAATAAAAAGGATAGAATTAATTTTTGAAAGCGTAAAAGTTAAAATTAATTCTTAATTTTAATAATAAAATAATTTTTATTTTTCAAATTAATGCTTAAAATATATCTTAATAATAGAAGAACCCCATAAAATTTAATAATATGACGTAATTGCATAATTTTTCACACATTTAGACATTAAAATAAATATTTTGTATTTGTAAGGGATAAGTTAATATTTCGTCATAGGATCAAATTAATTAGTTAATTATTAAATAAAATAATGAATTACTTAAGTATAAGAAATAAGTTCCTGTTAAACACGATATTGAGCTTAAAATTTTATCATTGATTAACATAAATAACAAGGGTTCACTATCTAATTTATTTATTTTCAATGTTGAGTTCTCTAATGTAACTTTTATCATATATTACATTATATTATCAATAACTTTATATAATTTTATATCATTATAATCATCATGCTAAATTTTTTTAAAATTAAATAATAAAAACAAAGTGATAAATGATTCATATATTATATTTTAAAAAATTATACCAATTTTAATTTATATAAACAAGCTATTTTTTCACTTGTTTGTTTAAATATTTTATTTTTTAATGTCAATGTAATATATAATTGAAATGTTATTTTTAATGTGATTTATAATATTCTATAATATTTTTCTCTAAAATGTAGTTCCCATTAAAATAAATAATTTTATTCATGAAATAAATCAGATTGTATAGAAAGAAAACAACATCTTTTATTCTCTATTATGTTTCCATATTTTTTTTAAATCAATATCATTTTAAAATTATTAAGAAAACGTTTTGCATCAGTTGACCAAAAAACTAAATAATATAATTTTACTTGATCCTCTTAAACCACATTTTTTAGTAAAAAAAAATCTGATAAAAGCTTTGTGATATGATGTCACGTGGCTCGTGATATGTGAGTAAAAAATAATAATAATAAAAGATAGTGCTTTAGTCGTGGAAATAAAGAAACGTAGGATGACTTAATTGCTTAGATTCCAATCTTACTATTATCCATCAAAGACAAAAAAAATATTACAAATTATTTCCATTCTTTAATGTATGAAAATCGCAATTTGAGATATCATTTTATTTAAAAAATTGTCATTGTCAACTCTATCTTATATTATTATTATTATTATTATTATTATTATTATTATTAAAGAAAATATTTGCATGGGTGGTTCTCAAGTTTATTGAACTTCTTACTATTTTAAATGTTTTTTTTATAAAATTATTATTTTTTTAAAGAAAAAATCTTATTCTTTATAATTATTCTTATATATTTATCAGTCTAATATTATTAGATATCGAAATTAATAATAATTTATATATATATATATATATCATAATTAATTAGAATTTGAAAATAAATAATACTTTAAATATTATAATTAATTTTAATAAACGATATTATCATAATAATATATTATTTTTAAAAGAAACATAATATTATTCATTTTAAAAATATTTTTGTTTTTATACAATTTTTCAAAGGTTTATTAAATTCATCAAGGAAAAATTAAAATAATATATGTTAAACTTTTTAATACATGTCAGGAAAGGGAAAAAGGAACCATACGAGTTTTTATATTAGCTTTTATGATTAATTTTTTAATTAATTAGTCAAATTACAAATTGTTGAAAAAGAAATTTGAATTGATTAAATAAAATAATATCATGACATGTACAAGTATTTAATATAAGATAATCTTTATTAGGATAATGTTTTGGATCATGATACTTCATACATTTATCTACAAAATAATTATGTAAATTATACTATAAAAAATTACAAACATAACCTGTATTGGTAGCAAGAGCACAACAATAAATTATAAAGATAAAAAATTTTAGTTAATAAATATAAATAATAATTTATTTATGTATCTTATCTTATTTTATATATGTATCTTTTTTATCGCATCACGTGTGTTTCATAAGATTAATATTATGTTATAAACTTAAATATTAATATTTGTAGATTACGTTGAAACTTACTATCAACACCATTTTGGATTTCATAATCACATAATAGAGACAAGACTACTCCGATTGAGCATTATCATTCTTGTTTGAGTGAAGGGCCTTTGAAATAGATAATTTATTTCATCTTTTTCTTCGCTTGAGTGACTATACATAATCAACCTTATGTCCTCTATTTGAACTTGGCTTGAATAATCACCTGTTGCTTAAACAAAATACAAGTTATGATAGTTTTGTCTCCTTTACAAGTACTTTTGCTTAAGTGACCACCTATCGCTTTAGCAAAAAATAACTCGAGGAAATTTTCTCTCCTCTATGATCCTTTTACTTGAACCCATTGTTTGACCTCTCGCTCAAGCGACTAAAGCCTCGCTTGAATGATGAAAATTATAATAGAGGTTTTACTCATTTCCAATTATTTCTCAATCCTTGCATCTAATAAAAAAACTTATACATACCAATTTATGTATAAAAAATACATTATGTTACCAAAATAATCTAAGCATTTTTATTTCTATTCAACATTCCAAGATACACACATTTCTAGTATAGGTATATTATTACTTGAATAGTTAAATCTTCTTACTTGAATATCCTTTCAACCTAGTTTTTCCAAGTGTTTGTGTAGTCCAAGGTTACTCCTTTTACTTCAACACTTGGGCATTCCCACACGACTAAAACAATATGAGTAGTTTTTCCACTTAACTTAGAAATAACCCAAAAATAGTAAGAAGTAGAAATAAATTATTTCTTCTAATTATGATCGTGCAACTCAATTTTTTATACTTTCAGCTCTTTCTCTTACCACTTCCAAATATGAATTTCAATATTCAATACGTATTGAACTTTAGAAAATATTCAAAGAAATTTTATTTTGTGAGATTATGTTTTGTGAAAATACATCAATTTAGTCTCTATTCAAAGAGTTTTTCAACTAGCTAAACATATTTTACTTTTAAAACAAACTCACATTGTTATCATCCCCACCACAAAAAAATTTGATATAAAAAAAGAACTTACTAATAGATAGGTAAGGATAGAAACCTCACATATAATCTTCAAGTTCCCAAGTTAAATCACTAGATCTACCATCCTATATGACTTTCACCATATTGATCGTCAGTGGCGGATCTTGACCATTGATCTTGGGGGACCAAATAATATATTATTAATAAATAATAAATAAATATAAAATAATATATTATTAATAAATAATAAATAAATTATAAAATAATATATTATTAATAAATAATAAATAAATTATAAAATAATATATTATTAATAAATAATAAATAAATATAAAAGGAAGAAAGAAGATGAAAGGGTAAAAGGATAAAATTGTAGATATATATTTAAATATATTAAATGATCATTAAGTTTGAGGGGGACAAAGTCATAAATTACATAGGAGTTACAAAATTGAGGAGGGGCTGAGAGGATAGAATTGTAAATATACAAGTAAATATATTAAATGTTTATTAAGTTTGGCGGAGCCAAAATCATAAATTACATGGGAGTTATAAAACTTTGAGGGGGCCACGACCCCCCTCAGTTCCCAAGAAGATCCGCCACGGTTGATCGTCAAGTCTTAGAGTTACTGAATCTAGTAATCATATATCCGCACTGGTGGAGCTTTTAGCCGTAAACCTTTCTAATATACACATTATCCAACTCTAGGATATGACTTGGATCTTACATATATTTTCTCAATAGAGATACATGAAATACCTAGTACAAATTAGTTAGTTGTGGAGATAAGATTAACTCAAGCTATTAGACCAATTTTCCTAAGTACCTGAAATAACCTAATAAACTTATAAATCAACTTTATGGATTTGAGAGATCTTCCAACTCATGTAGTAGGCTTAACCCTTAGAAACACAAGTTCTCCAATAATAAACTCTAAGGTTTTTCACCTTTGATCAACATAAAACTTTTATCTACTCATACAAGTCTTTAATTTCTAACCACCCAAACTTCATTCGTGGTCTACTACATTATCTCTAGCTCGATTATTATCTTTTCTCCATCCTAGTACCAACATAAAGGTATTTTACACTTCCTTTCATGTAAAGCTTTATATGGTGTCATCCCAATTCTAGTTCGGTGGTTATTATTATAAGTAAATTTCATTAAAGAAATAATTGCTTTCTAACTTTCTAAATAATCCAACATACAAGAGCTCAACAAATATTCTAGTGAATGGATTACCCTCCCTAAATCCATCGATATGGGGATGATATGTACAACTAAGCCTTAATTTGTATTCCCGAGGATTATTATAGAGTATTCTAGAATCTAGATGTAAATCTAGGTTCTCAGTCTTAAACTATACTAGAAGG